TGACTTTGAGAGACTTCCTACGGAACGCACATTGGGATTATTTTGGAATACTATGGTTGATGCGTTTGAATTTAAAGTTCGCGTACCGAAACGCCCTTTCACTAGGCGAGGTATATTGTCGAGTGTAGCCTCACTTTACGATCCCTTGGGATTGTTAGCACCATTTATACTTCCTATGAAGCAGTTACTTCAGCGCTTAGGTAAGTTGGGACTAGGATGGGACGAAGAGATTCCAAGTGAGGAATGCAAACGCTGGTTAGAGATTCTAAGTGAACTTCAGAGGGTTGAGAACGTTAGTTTTCCACGTTGTGTATTGTTTCCACAATCAGATCGCTCGCTTCTGGAACTTCATATTTTCTGTGACGCCTCGGAAATTGGATATGGTGCAGTGGCATACATCCGATCTTGCATCCTTGACACTGGAATATGTTCTCGTCTTATTACGGCTAAGGCAAGAGTAACCCCCTTGAAGGTTCAAACCATACCGCGCTTGGAACTTACGGCAGCAGTGTTAGCAGCGCGTATGGGTCCCAGCTGCAGTCCGAGTTAGATATTAAGTTTGCAGAAGTTAAGTTTTGGATGGATTCCATGATTGTCTTACACTATATTAGAAATGAGAAAAGCCAGTTTAAAACATTCATAGCAAACCGGATTTCGACTATTCACAGTCTTACTAAGATGGACCAATGGAGATTCGTACCTTCTAAGGAAAACGTAGCAGACTTTGCATCCAGAGGGGTAAGGTTCAACATTGATCATGTCAAGGTATGGGAGGAAGGACCTCACTTTTTGAAGAAGCCGAAGGAGTGTTGGCCTGATGCAAATGTACAAGATCCTGAACCCCATCTCTTGGAATTAAAGAAGGCAACGTCCATGCATGTAATGGTTGGAGAATCCACTGTTGATCTACTTATTTATTATTATTCAGATTGGACTAGATTACTTAAGGCTGTTGCATGGTTGATCCGATTTAAGCAATATTTGTTAATAATGTATTCTGGCAGAGGTGATCTATCCCTACAGGTGGGTATGCCCAGAGTTGATGAACTAAATTTAGCTTGTTTAGATTTAATTCGATATGTCCAAAGCATAGTATTTCGGAAAGAGATTGAAATGTTGTCGTCTGATAACATTAGCAAGGTGAAAATAACGAATTCACCCTTACGAATCTTAAATCCAATGATCATAGACGGATTATTGTGTGTCGGTGGTCGACTTCAAATTAGTTCCTGGTCCGAGTCGAGGAAGCATCCCATAATATTACCATCGAAGCACACAATTACAAATTTGATTCTACGGTATTATCATGTTTTGGAGGGACATGTCGGAGCTACATAGGTAATGGCGACGGTCCGAGAAAGATTTTGGGTGCTGAGGGGCGGTGTGGCCATGAGGAGAGTTATAAAGGATTGTGTTTATTGTAAAAGAAGGAACGCTCGTCCCATTCAGCAACTAATGGCGCCATTACCTTCGATCAGGATAGAAGGAGGTGACTATCCGTTCTTATCAGTTGGGGTAGATTATTTTGGACCCCTTATGGTCAAACATGGTAGAAATACTGAGAAGCGGTATGGTTGTGTATTCACTTGTTTAAAATTGAGAGCCGTGCATCTGGAGGTGGCATATAGTTTTACCACCGACTCATTTATCATGGCACTAATGAGATTTGTCAGCAGGAGAGGTTATCCAAAGGAGATCTACAGTGATAATGGATCAAATTTAGTGGGGGCGGAACATGAACTAAGAAAATGTCTTCAGGGTTGGGTACAGGAACGTATATACTCTGATTTGCTAAAAAAAGGGAATGACTGGCATTTCAATCCTCCGGCTGCTAGTCATTGGGGAGGAGTGTGGGAGCGCATGATTCGCTCTGTACGTAGGGTATTGAGTACTCTTGTAAAGGAACAACCTTTAACAGATGAATGTCTCGAAACTTTCGTGAAAGAGGCTGAACGTATAATTAACAATCGACCTTTGGTTCCCGTTACAGACGACCCGAAGGATCTTGATGCAATAACACCAGCGAAACTATTACTATTGCGAGAGAATGTTGCAGAATTCGCTAACACTCTATCTAATGACAGGTATTCTAAGAGATGGAAGCAAGCGAACTATTTGGCACAAGTATTTTGGAGACGTTGGTCTAAGGAATATGTATCACTATTGCAGCGTCGATACAAGTGGACACAACTAGAGAGGAATATACGGGAGGGTGACTTAGTAATGATATGTTCTGACTTTTCCGAGAAAAACAAGTGGCCCTTAGGTCTAGTACAGAGAGTGATACCAAGTAAGGATAGACTAGTAAGACAGGTAGAGATGAGGACGAGAAAGGGTATTCTAGTGAGAGATATACGTAAACTGTGTCTTCTCGAAGCGGTAGATGGTAGGTAGTTAATCGGATCCCTAGGCGTACTGGTGTAAGTCCTAGGGATCACGAGATTGTCGGTATATTGAATGTTTGCTGTTGATTGCTTGCGATGCACATATTTGGATCGCTGTTACCTATTTTGTCTGTGAAAAGAACCAATGTTCTTTTGGTCGGGAGTGTTACGGGAGAACTGAAGACATTTAGCTGATTAAAACCTTTATATTAAATATCATTAATTTCACTGGTTTTTGGATGTATTTGTTTTACTTAACTTCTGAACTTGTTTGTTTATATCATTATTTCGAACATTTTGGTTTCTGTTTGTCTTGGCTTGGTAATTGGAAGTTTTTTGCTCCGGGAACCTATAAAATTGAAGGTTTGTTTTGTAATTATTATAATTATTGTTGTTAGAACGACATTTGGTCGACTATTTGTGAATTGCGAATAAACTTGGTATCTAATTTGGTTTTGGTTCTGTTGTTAATTTGGGTTCGTAAATTACAAATAGATCGACATACCGTACTTCAATAACGGGAAGGAGCAAAAACTTGGACGTAACAGTGGTACTTTTGTTTTGATAAAAAGTTGTAAAGCTCTTCAGACTGTAAATAGGCATGTAAAAACGCAATCGAGGGCATCCAAAGGTATCTCGACATAGCTAAAAGATTTATAGTGGCCCAACTACAAGAAAATCCGTTAATCTTGGCAGAAAATGGTACGGAAAAAGCTGAAGCTTTATCGGAATATTTCTGTAAAGTGTTTTCTATCAGTAATGAAGAACGAGCAACGATTCATTGTGATCGTTTCGGCTCAGTGATGGACTTTGTAGTCGTGAAGAAATTCATCCTAGAATTATGAAAACCATACCAGATGTAATTTCGTAACCTTTAGCGACACTGTTTAACATATCTCTGAGCCACTCCAGACTACCCAGAGACTGGAAATACGGTATAATAACTCCGGTGTATAGCGCTGGCAGTAGGGATTTAGTTAGTAACTATAGACCCGTTAGCTTAACTACTGCAGTTGTAAAACTGATGGACAAAATCACTCGGATGTCTCTTATAAACTATGTTAAAGGGCATAATCTTTTCTCCGGGGAACAACATGGTTTTCAGAGAGGCCTATCATGTTTGACAAATCTTCCAATTGCAAGAGAATATTGGGCTGCTGCAAAAAATCAGAATATTCCTGTGGATGTGATCTTCATAGATCTGAGTAAGGCCTTCGATAAGATCTCCTATTCTGGTCTGAAAGTCAAACTGGGACGTTTTGGAATCCATTATATAGTGGTAGATTGGCTAATTAACATTCTCCACGCTCGACCGCCGACTGCCCCCACGTGCGATGTTTTATGGTGTAGGAGTAGGTTGGAGGAAAGCTAGGGGCGGTCACTTGAAGTAAATGCTAATAAGAGTGCTGATGCAATTAAATAACAATGATGGATCGTTTCACCATACAATATGTAGGTTCGTACTACCTAAAGTAAGAAACTACAAAGATTTGGGAGTCATATTAAGCAGTGATCTCAAAACCGCTACTCACTGTAAGGCTGCTGCTGCAAAAGGCTATAGGATATTATGGTCTATTCGTAGGTCCTTCCAGTATTTAGATGATGAAATGTTTAGAATATTATACCCGATTTACGTGCGACCACATTTAGAATATGGGATTCAAGCAGCGAGTCCGTGTTTCAAGTATGGAGCAGATATGCTGGAAAGAATCCAACGACGAGGTATTAGGATGGTACAAGGTCTATCTGGCTTATCTTATGAAAACACACTGAAATACCTTAATTTATTTCCACCATCGTACCGGAGAATACGGGGTGATCTAATGTTGGCTTATCATTCACTGAAGGATGACCTTGGTATTACTATGTCTTATCTTTTACTTCCGTCTAGAACTGACCATTTGAGAGGACATTCCAAAAAAGCTCAAAAACTTAGATCAAATCGTTTACGTCTGGAGTTTCGTTTCTCTCACCGGGTAGTGAATTACTGGAATTCTCTACCGGAACACGTAATATCAACACCTTCTGTTGATATATTCAAAACAGATTGGACCTCCACATTATTACAAACTGCAAGGATTAATATAGGTCGATACACTGCCTATCCTTATTAATGAAGACTGAGACTGAATAGTAGAACGCGTACGATTGGTTTGGACGGTAACTTCAGCTTTCAGCAAAACAAAACAAAGAGGAGTTTTCACATTTACGAATAAATTTTAATCAATTTTAGGAGAGATCCGACAATCCCTAGGGTTTCCAGCTGCAAGCACGGTCTATTTTTCGGGAGTTTCTCTAGTGTTTTCCTGAGGCTTTACTTACTTCGGATGTATAACATTCCAGTTAACTAATAAATTTAAGTGCGTCCTATGTGCTTACTGCGTCGACAAATTTTCTCTTGTTCCTTTCTATTTTGTTTCTCATATCCTCCCTCAACAAACAACTATATATTTACACCTTATTAATTTATTCGCAACACGGACAGTTGTGATCATCATATATAACTTACAAAATACAAATCGAATATTGTATTTTGGACTGAGTACTTGGACTTTGTGACATTGTTTAAATACTTACAACTATAACAACATAATAAGACGTATTTAAAGATTAGTCATGATCCATGACGAAGATATAAAAAGTAATCTTTTTTCCCGACTGATGAATAGCTGTAGATATCATGATTGAGAAAGCAAACGCCATAAGATGTAGACTTCTGTACGTCATAATTATGTTCTTATTCAGTATAATAAGTAACGAACTAAATATTTCAAAATTTCAGACCACAAAACTACATAAAGAGGAAAAAGAGTTATCAGGAAAGCTAAATGAAAGCTCAAAAGCTGATCAAAAGCTTCTCAAAAATCGAATCAGTTGCTTGAACTCGGAACTTCAGCATGTACACTCAATAAAATGTGAAATTGAGAAAGATCTCAATGATCTTGAGTAACTTGCACATTTTGCAATCAGTATTTTAGATATAATACGTCACTCTTACAGATTCAAGAGTCTTTTGATATAACCAAGAATCACAATGGTCTCTATGATACCCCAATTTCCTCCAAACCTTATATGACGGAAAAATCTAAAAAATCTGTTCGTCAAACTCGAAGAGTGAAGAAATCAGATGTGCACACACAGTTTTACTGCCGTAAAATCGATAACAAAGATGGAATTTTTGAAGACTCAGATCAAGACAGGCTTAAGCATAATCTGACAATTAACAGGTGAGGTTTCGAAATCTTACTCATACTTTTAGAATCACTTCACTGTCCTCTTTACCTCAAAACGATGATACTGAAAGGAGAATGAGGTCAGCAGCAGCTCTGAAAGCATCCATTGAGGATTCTAAAGTCAGTGTCTTTGGAAGTTATCCATGTTGTTTTTATGATGAAGCATTCACAAATTCCCAACTGTCATAATCACTTAATTAATGAAGTCAGTTTAACTTTTCCCCTTGCTTTACATTTCAACCCCGTTTGTTCACTTACATTTTGAATTTCGTATTGCTGAACGTGTCTTTCACAGTGTATATCTAATCAACTGTGGATTATAAGTCTTTCGTGACAACAAACAAAATAACTAGTTAAGTGAAGGTTATGAAACCCAGGCAAATGTTTATTACTAACAAAAATCAAATATAGCCAACTTATTCATATGCAAAAGCTTGGCGTTAAATAAATTTATGGTTAGTTTTAATACTCCTTAATGAGACTTCGTTACGAAGGCCACATGCATTTTAAGAAAAAACATCCTGAACTGATGTTGGAGTTGAGATTTAAAATGAAACGTAATGTTGGAGACTAATGGTAACTAGATAATACATATGTTATAATGGGATTGTTTGTCTTCTGCATACCCATTAAAAACGATAAATTTTACCAGATTTATGAAACTGTGTGGATTTGGTTTATCTAACATTTGTTTTATAGAGTATTAACACTAGGTGAAGAGCGTGTTAAAACATACAATAGATTTTCATATTTATGTTCATGTAAATAAGCCGCCTCTGGATTATTTTTAATCATCGAGATATGAAACCACCCCCTACCACTGTTCTTTTCTCTTTGATAACTGGCCTTCAATCACATTACGTAATTTGTATCTAAGTGTCTTTAATAGGACGGGCAGGAATCTGGATTGTGGACATGTAGACGGCTCTGTAAAGTCCACTACAGGTTCTTGTGGGACATATTCTAGGTATACCATAAAAGACTGACACATGTTATGATTCGATACATAAACTAAAACATAAAGAAATCCATTTCCTACCGAAATGTGAATTATTTATGTTCCAATTTTATACTAAACTGTTTGAAGATTTTTCGGGCCAGTCATTTGAAATGATCTCGTGAATAAATATCTGAGAGCTTTTGCGCCATAATATTTCTTTATTCTTGCACTGCCTTTGTTAGCTCTATTAATTCCCATCACTCTGTCATTCTGTAGCGATTGTAAAGATCTTGATTCTTCTTTTGAAATATTAGACAGATGAGGTGTTTGTTTACTAAAATATGAGACGTTCCTTGAAGTGATACATGAATTTCTTTCTCAGACAGTTGTTCAATTATTGGTTTCTGAGTTGGAAAGATTTGAAAAATCATAGATATTTTCCCATGTAAATTGAAATATGGCTCTTTTTCCGTTAGATTAATTTCATGGGTACTTAGATTTCTGTCTGAGAGATGATGAACAACCATTAAATCATCGGAACCGGATTTAACCGTTAGAGTTTCGTTTCTTTCTCTTTTTCTCATGTTTTTGGTTTTTGGGATTTCAAAGAATATTAGTACTGTCTTCCCTTTTTGATGAAAAGGTTAATGCTAAGCGTCTGTAATTCAGTAGCATACATTGAAGAATGTTATTTGAAAAACGTAACCCAAAATGTATTAGAAGGTCCAGAAAAATGGTCAAGGGAAGTCTCAAACAATCATCTGTTAACGAAGTACCTATTCTTATCCATCTCATACTCCAACGATAGATTTAAGGCGAAACCTATAAAGGGATTTATAAGCATACAAAGTGAAATTTTGCTATAGCTTGAGAAAATTTAGTGTTTAACAACAGATGTTTATCAAACTAGCTAAACGTATACCAATATGTTTTTGAAGCCACATAAAAGTGTACATGTGGAAGTAATTATATACAAAAGACCAAAAGAAAGGTATCTGTAAGGTTTTTGAACATGTTTCTTGAAAGGTTCGCTTCAAAGGAGGTAAAGCATACATAAGTACAATCAATAGACGTCTAGTGGATAACGGACACAGAGTGAACAGCATAAAGAAGTTTATAACAAGTAATAAGTGACGAATATTGCTTCAACTCTGCTTTGCATATGTCACTGTCATCAAAAACGTATTTATCTGTTCTTTGTATACAGAAAGTAAGTGTGATCAACCTCATAATTTACATGGTTTTCTAGTTAAGCTGTTTTTTCATTTGCCTTTATAACCTGAAGCAAAACAAACTCCATTGACATTCGTTCAAAAACTCAACTTGAAGTTTATGTCAATTCATGTTGTTTTGCAAATCTGGTTGTTTTCGATCTTTTTTTAATTGAGCGACAAATAATGATGCATGAAATTTAAGAGAAATCGGTTTTATTAGACTCTCCATGTTTTTGATCGATCCACAATATTTTTCCAGTAAATTTGTTTATTTGTGAATTCGTTCTCACCCACTAGCAGGATCGCAAAAGCAAAAGCTTATCTCACAAAATCACCTTGACATTAACATTACATTAGTTTCATTAGATTTATTTTTGATTGTACTGAGTATCTCTGCTTCATTCTTTTGTATAATTTAAACATGTATTAATCTAATTCACTCATAATTTTTGGTTCGACGATGCAGCTTTCACTAATTTAGGGAATGTCAGCAATCAATTTTCTACTCATCCAAATATTACAAGTACATCAACAATCTCATTAATAACAATCAAGTTAATGTTCAGTTCATTTGAAATTATCTAGCTGAGCCTTGGTAATGATTACTACTTAAAGTTTCTGGCTTCATACTTATATTAATGAAACCAGAAACAAAGTCTTATGGAAAGTATAAACTGGTTTCTATGTAAAAAAATATTAGCTTGCTATGTTTGATACGCATTGTAAGCGATTATAATCAATGTTACTCACATAATCTGATTTTCAAAGCAATACATTTTTCAAAATTTAAACTTATTAACTCGTAGTGATATTTAGATTCAAGAAGTGTTCGGTTATAGTTTTTACCTTACTTGAATGTTTAAAATTTAATCCAGACAACATATAACCTGGGAAACTTTTGAAATAAAGATCCAACTACTCTTTTTAAGCGTTTAGTTACAAAACTTAAAAAATATCTCTTTATTTGTACCAATAAATATTTACACAGCTTGTGTTGTTGTCACTTCGTATTGCGTCATACATTGTTTATTATGTTCCGTTCATTGAAGTGATGAGAATTTAAATCTTTATATTTTTTGGTCAGTGACTTTCAAGTTTACATGTATCTAAACGACTTTAAAAGATCTTTGGCAAGAACTTATTTTACATTTTACTGTGACTGGAGAACGTTACTTATAAAAACCAAGGACAGATTGATTACATTGCATTGGTTATACACTATGAAGTACGTATGATTTTGATAGGCTATTAGCATACTTACCGATGTACACTATGGAACTGTAGTCGCCTGAAGTGATTCCATCTTTTTAAAGTATCACTTGTTGATTGTTTAGTGAGCTCGAAATTTATGTTCTCCTTTTTTCCTGTATTCATACTTCTATAAGTCATGATATGCAGAAAAATCATGATACTGCCAGGTTGTTTTCAGGTTAGCAACCAAAATCCGCTTTGTTCATAAAAGTTCTTTTACTGGTGAATTTGTTCTTGATTAACGATGCGCAAATAGAATTGGATTGAAAAGATTTTTAAAAATCTTCAACTAAATGACTACATAAGATTATTTTTTTAAAGTCAAACATAACATTAAAATCGTAAATTAAGTAAGTATGTTTCCTTACCTACATCAATTACTAAATAAATAAGATTAGATGGAGCAGTGATAAAGGAAACTAAAAGTTGCACTACTAAACGATATCATAAAATCTTGTATTTTATTTTGTCTATTTCAGACCATCATGGCTATTGTCCAAGCTAAACACAGAGCACACCAAAATTCCTTGTTAATGGAAGAAAAAGGCCTATGTATCCAAGCAGAACAAAATCTAAAGGACGAAAAACTTGAACTGGCATTGCATCGTAGATTAGCCAATATTGAGGCTCACCAGACGTAAGCATTTGATTGGATACATGAGATTACATTCATCTCAAGTAATTTGAGAAAGTTTGGTCCTAGGGTCATAAGGTATATAATCATACAGTACCGATTCAACTTTTTTGAACAATTTAATTTAAATGATAGGACGCGATCAAAATCTTCTCATTACGCTTCAACTAATTCTACGAAACCTCAGAAACTAAAAAGTTTCTGATGGCACCAAGTTGAAAATAGGACAGGAGTCAAACAAGGAACTACCATTCCTAGGTGTATTAATCACCAGAACCGACACAAGAAAACTGGATACTCAAGTTTATTGTATGCTGACCCATATGGATCAAATTCCCAATTACAGAGCAACAACTCAAGAACCACAAAATCAACTGCGTATAAACTTTGTACAAAAGGGCGAGAACACACTGCAACACATTTGCAGCTAGGAAAAATGAAAAATATCTCAAGACTATCTTTCAAAAAAACGGGTACCCTGTCAAATTCATCAAAAAATACCAACCAAAAGGATCAGAAGAAACAAAATCAGATACGGAAACCAACAAAAGGATCATTCTACCATATATAGAAAGAATATCAGAAATTCTAACGTGAGAATCCTCACATAAAAACCGCTAATCGATAAACATTTCTCTGTTTGCTCCAATAGTTTTCAGATCTTAACAACAAGTGATTTTTATCTAGTTGAATAAAACATTTACACAGGATTCAATCTTAGTTAAAACTTTATTTTTAATTTGTTATCTTCAGAGCTTTCAAAGAGTCACAAAATAGGAAGTATAGGGAAATAATAGCTAAACTTTTACGTGAAGAATTTTTGCAAAAGGAGAAAGTGAAACGACTCACACTGACCCCCAGAGAAAACGAAAATTATAAATGCCCTCAAGTATGTTAAAACTTATTTTTTAGTATTTAAAGCGATAAGTACCTAGAGTATAGTGAAGAACCATCGAAACTTGAACAACATATGATTGATGAATTTGTAAAACATCAGAGAAAAGATGAAGCAGTAATAAATGTAAGTTACACCATGGACTTTTTGTCAAGATGGTTAACTGAACAACACAGGTAATTATCACTTGTATACATCTTTCTAAAATACTCCTAATGTCTTAGCTACACTAACTGTCTTAATTTTATTGTGGTTAGCGATTTTAGGATATTTCCATTTTGTTTGCCTTAATTAAGAAAGTGATCAATTCCTTCAAAAGTTTCATATTGAGTACACGGTATATAGCCATTAGTTGTAAGCAAAATTATTATCGTATAGCTTTCTTTTATTCACGGATTTTTCATTTCTTATCCCAATGACTCACCTCAGTTGTATATTAATGATGATCTAATTCATATCCATTTCGACAGCATGTTTATAAAATGATTTCTTTTTCACTAATACTTCAACGGGATTCGTTGACTGATTACTGAATGGGCTATACTTGAGAATTATCTGATAACAAAACTCTACCAACGCTGGTAAATCCTTGATAGTACGACTTGCTGAACCATGAAACCCTCTATCATAAAATTTTTATACTATAGAAGTAAATTATCTTTACGTTTTTTATGTCTTGCTCGGAGATTTGATTGCAGGTCTTCTAAGAAGAATCAAAGACACTACTCAGACATTCAAGTAACTCATTCATTTCTGTAAAAGTAAGGTTTAGTGAAGTTGTTACAGAATAATATTCTGAAGGAATAAAGAATAATGTGCTGGAACTCTGATCATCACATAAAGATCTACTGGTAATGGATATTGGTGTAATACATGTCACTCACTTTCTAAAACGTTTCGTCCATTTTGCTTTTAAACGGAAGCACTACTGCTTTGAGAAATTAGACTTACTACGATACTATCAATTGGTATAATCGGAAAATATTGAAGATTTATGACAAAGGAATCCATTATTTATCTAGGATTTTTTATTTATTAAGATAGTATAAAAAGGTTGCATTTTCACTTCACCTTTTACTACAAGCTGCACTTAGGTTTAATAAAGAGTATTTATAGCTCAGGAAAATGATTTTGTGAATGTTACCGTGAATGACTTCAGTGGACATAGCACTTCTAAAGCTTATGCCTAACCATATAATGTATTACCGTACCTAGTCATAAAAGTGTCATTCACTTTCTGTAAACAATACGTGTTAGTGCTCTATTCAAAATATTTCTTATCATACACTTTTTTTACGCCCAGTCATTGGAGAATAATTTTTCTGTAGAAACGGAACAAAATGATGAAAATGACACTGAATATGAAAAATATTTATCACAGTCCTATGACTCAGTATCTGGCTCATTAGATTCCTTTTCGAAGCAGCAGAACATAGTTACGGAGGACAATGTAAATCAAGCAATTTCCAGTTTTGGTATGTTGTGAATTTTCATCAATTGGCTTGAAAAGATTTATGTCATTTCTGTGAAACACTACCAAAATCAGATGATGTTCAGTTTGATAGGAATGACTGAACACAGTTTTCATTAGTCACTAGTTTACTAAAAGATCTGTCAAGACACACCTGAAGTTTTTTCAGATTAAAAAGGGCATCTTGTGTTACAGATTATTAATAATCTGTAACTTATTGAAGACTTTTTTGGTTATTCAGTTTCTGAAATTTTTGGTGATCATTCAAGATGTTATTCATCTTGTCAATGTAGTCTTTTTTGTTAAGTAGGACAGTTCCTGTTCCTTTATCAGGTTTTGTGATAGTCAGATTCTCGTCAGTAATGAGTTCATTGATAGCCCACTTGTGTTTTATAGTCAAAACCTGATAAAAAAACAGGAACTGTCCTACTTAACAAAAAAGACTACATTGACAAGACGAATAACATCTTGAATGATCACCAAAAATTTCAGAAACTAAATAACCAAAAAGATGTCAATAATAATATAGAGAATGAACTAACCAAACCTTTAAAAAAGCTCAGAGTTCAACAGATGATTCTACCAAACATATTGAAGATTTTTCAAGAAATTGTTCAGATGTTAGTGTTATCAGTTTGTTATTCCCAATATGCTAAACAGTTACAGCTCTTTGAGGTAATTTAGCCGTGACAAAGACGTTTTAAGTAATTTTATTGATATTTTGTAATTATTACTGCAGATAGATAAATTTTTAGTTCTGTCTTTGAGAACTTAAGCTCAGTAAATTTACTTCTTGAATGTAGTTCTCCTCTTCATGTGCTATAGTTCACCTTCCAGTGTGGTATTCACTGGAATGCAAATCCATCTTCAATGTTTGGAGATAAGAATCCAATTTTTGATTTTTCAGTTTTCTAAAGTAAAACTTACAGTATATTAAATTAAAGCCATATATTATAGAAGTTTACTGAAAATTAGTTAGTTTGAATTGAAATTGAAATTGAAGTTGACAAATAAGTTTTAGGTACCATCAAAGTGGCCTCCACCTCTAGATTACTGAAATGCTCTTTTTATCTTACTACAGTACAGAGAACTTATACTTCACACACTAAATAGTATCATCGACAACCTTTCTGCAATGTAATTCATTTCTGATCGTTGAACAATGAAACTAGCTTAGATAAATAATAATTAAATCGCTTCGTATACCAGAAACCTACAACTTTTCCACTAGTTACTCTTTGAAACCAATGTAGTTAGGGTTTAATAAATAAATATTTTCTGTTTCGCCTTACATCCCAATTAAAAAAAAGATTTTATTGCATCATTTTGAGCAAAACATAGTGTTCATATGCTAAAAAGAGAAAGCTATAAATTTCAACTCGCTGGTTTCATCAAAGTCCGTTTATAATGCTGCCTCGAAATAAACCCAAACTTCTAATATCTTGTTAGATTAGTATTAATGATTTTATGCTTAAAATTCCAAATAACAAATGGACAATGGAAATACAAGAAATTTCGTTATCTATTCATAAAATATTATCCATTGTGTTATGACTTTAAATCCGACTAATCATCACGTGACTTATTCGCCAACCGGATTACGACTTAGCACTTAGCCAAATCAATGTCGTTCGACCGGTACGAACAGCCTAGTGTCCTTATCGGTCTTTTTTCCTCCTATCTCTGCCAGTTGAGTCCATGACACGAATAACAGCTTCAAATATACGAATAATTTGTTTCAAACGTACTTGGTTTATATGCAAAGCAAACAGACCACATCACACTATAAAATAGAACATAACATTTACATATGATCGAACCAAAAAGTGGCTATGATTGTGGGGGACTGTAATTAATAAACTGGGTATGTAGTTTAAGAATAGTAAATCGTATCAAAATAGTCTATAGGTCAAAATAGAGCTCATAATAATGGGAATATAAATATATATAATCTAGTTACTGAATAGTGATACAATAAGAATATATATATAATATTAGTCTATTAACAGTCTTCAGAAGTTACCCATAATTTATTCTTCACTAGAATATAACACATTGATTTTGCAGAAATTCTATCAAAATAGTCTTTCTCGTGAAACATTATTTATTACATGCTGAAATAAAACATTGATTATTCTATTTTTAACAACTTTGAACAGCGTAAGATGTGAACACTTAACCAAATTTCTAAAGCTCTCAGTTATAATGAACTATTTTAACAAAAACGTTTTAGCCGAAGGGGGGTTTTTGGAAGATTTTAGTAATTTAATAGTTGAATTCGTGAGTCAATTAAAGCTAGACCTCCATGAAAAACCTGAAAGCACTGGATGGTCATTTCGTCCTAGTATGGGACTCCTCAGCAGCGCACATCCATGATCCCGCCCGCGGGAGGAGTCACATACCAGGATGGAACGGCCGTCAACTACTTCCAGAATCTCCATGGTGATCTAGCTATTAAATAAAAAATTTATTTATACATTTTAAGAGTATGTGATTAGATTATGAAAATAACAAAGTAATTCCAATATTAACTTATCATAAGTTTTTTTCTACGAAAAACTAATCATTTCTGACTTTTTAAATTTTAGTTTCTCGTGATACCATGAAGTCGTCCTCTGCTAAAAGCCATGTGCTGACTATTTCAACAGATCGTGTCTTACTGAAGTTAACTAACAGATCATCTACAAAACTATCAGAAATTGATAATGCGATATACGACAAGGAAAAAGAACATACTAACTGTAATACATATCATACGGAAAGATGTTCGAAAGCTGAAAAGGTAAATAAAAATGCAGTTGAAATAAATGCTTATAAAAAACGTTTCTGGCTGAAATTATGTCATCATTAAATTGTTTTATCATTCCGATTTTAAATTGAACTACAACATAAATGTTTATGTATATTTTGTCATACTAGTGCATAGAGTTCTACTTACGTCACCAAACTTTTCAAGATGTACATTAGTGTAGTTGATGATCTTCAATGCAATAAATTCTATTTTATATCAATCAGTTTAATTGTAGTTTAGTTGAATCGCAAAGTAACTACATAATCATATTGAAATGTTCTATTAGTTCTTCATTAAAATTATTGAATCGATTCATAAGGGGTTATATTTTATGGTTGTTTAACCATGATCATATTTTCTGAATAGACTTACTCCTCTTATTAGAAGTCATTGCTTCTTGATTAATTTATTTAGGATGGATCAGTACCAAATTTTTAGTGCAATACAAAATTTTTCAATATTCTACCAGTTATATGAATAAATGTGTACCTACTCGTCATACTCAAAACTGCTTCGTATTTCACTCATCAAATAGTAAATTAATATATACTGAGAGTTAATCAAACATAGGTGGTGTGTGGAAACAGATTTTGTGATATTTTTACTGAAGCATACATTTGATCTATAATGTTAAGTTTATGGAAAGCATATTATTACACAATTAGTGCTTCACTCTTGTTAATGATGGCTTGGATAAAACCATTTCTGTACGTAGTCACAAATAAAGTTACCCCAGTTTAAACCAAATTCAATTTTGTGTATTCTCATGATCTCAATTTGTTTGCTTATGGCGTAACACTAGGAAATTTTACAACGTGTTCTACAGCAAACTCGTGAAAACATTGTACAACCTCAAATTGTGGCGGGGAAAAAATTTGATGGTCCAAGTTTTATAGCCAAGCCAGCTGAAATATGGTTTCAGGTTAGCAAATTTCACAGGACTATTTACGTATGAACCTTTATTGCGAAGTTCATTTTTTGTTAGTGTTATAACTTGTGAATCAAATGCTTATTGTCTTGGCTCTTTTAATGCTACCTTTTGTATCTGGTCGTCGCTGATTGTTATGGCGGAAACGCTTGTCACTTATACTCGGAACGAGGGACCTCCGTAATTCCCACGACGCAAAAGTACGAACACAAAGACTGGTGTAAGTGATGATTTATTAACCCCAAAACACGACGACGACGACGACGATTCTAGTATAAAATACACTCGTTTATATATTGATTGTATACCCATTTTGATTAATAATTAAGATGAAATCATATATATGAAAAATACTCAGAATTATAACAAATCACATACTGAGCATAGTTCAGATCGATGGAATACAAGAATATCGTATATTATACAGAATAAAATATCATACGAGAAAAGAAAACAAATACTACATTGAGTAATCATTACATTGAATCGAAACGGATGTAATCTTGAACAAAACTCATATTGAGTAAATCAATCAAAAATTGACTTTTCTTCCCATCATATCAGTCAGCCATTAAACCACTTATTAATAAGTATATTTGTCGTTATTAAATCGTAAAAGCAGTTCTGCATGAAGAGATTCAAAAGAAAACTTTCAAAAATATACTAACAAGAAGTACAACTAAGTCACGTTGAAATAAATTGATTACTACCAAAAATTACTTTTATCAGTCGTCGACAAGAGGTCTTCCAGCTTATACATATTGTTTGACTAGTTGTAGCATAGATTCGATAACTAGTTACTGAAATAGAAAAATTCAAATTTATATTCAATATTTAAAAATCACTGTATCTATATGTATGTTTATTATGAATGTCATTTATTGAAAAACCTACGAAATTGTTATAAAAGCCAGCTGTCTTTCGGTTGTTTGAAACACCAAATGACAACTTTTGTAGCATCAGAAAATCGCCTATAATCAGTTATGAGAATGTTAGAATCCTTTCCGTTACTAGTTAGTAATGAATCATTATAACAAACACGACAGTATAAAATCTGCTACTATGGAATTATATGTACATTGAATTTATGTTATAAATCAGGGAAACAATATCATATTTTAGTTTTCTAACACTGAATTATGACTGTTGAAACAATCTTTTTGCCTGGTGGTTTGAGTTCTTTAGGAATCTTTGAACATTTTCGGGATAAATTTCTTAATTTTCATCAAAGCGAAAATATTAAATATTAGCAGCTTCGTGAACAATGATATTGGATTAAAATGATCTCGACATTAGTTGAAAGTTCTTATCTCAGAAAACGTAATATGTATTTCAGTTTCAAACATTTAGAATTGCCTGATCTTAATCAGTTACACATATTTAAATACTTTGCAAAATATTTACAGTGCATTCATCAGATATACTAGTTTCGTTGAAAAACTGCTAGTCATATGGTCACGTTTCCTAATCTAATATACACTTTCACTCTAATAATGAAACTTCAATTTCTGAATGAAAGCATGCTATGAACTTTTAGTTGTTTACTATTCTATTGATCACCTATCAGTAATGATCATTTATTTTCACAACCATTTTATACAAAATACAAAATTCACTTACTGTATACTAATTTCAGAACATCGAAGTAGACAAAACTCAAAAAATTAAAGTTACGCTAACTAATGCTTCATATGCTATTAGTACATGTAGATATGTTGGAATAACATCAACCCTTATGGATTTTGTAGATGTGAAGTAAGTTATTTTCACTTGACTTCTTAGTTTTCTATTCTGTAAAGTTCTTCATACAGCACTTTCATATCTGTAACTTTTCTTATTGGTTAAACCTGATTATTTGCTAATTATTCTAGCTAATTTTCATGGAAAAGTGTTCATAGACAAGATGATCCGACAATTTTCTTTCTCTTGAAGAGCTTTACAGTTGGTATGGAATTTCGAACTATAGATAAACTTGCTATCCGTAATCGAATTTTATGAAATTAACGCATCAGAAACCAGTTTTTCACTTAAGGTATTTGATGTTCTTGTAGTGTCGGTGACTGTGTTAAGCCCACACAGCTTATTCTAGCTTTTGAACAGGCCGATCTACTCATTCTTGAGTCACGTTTTGATTTTGTTAATTATTGACTTATCAACCCTGACTGTATTTATATGAGCATGTGTGTGTACATTTTATCCTATTCATCATGTGTCCGTGGCTTATTTTTGTGTGGCTATAAATATCGATTAACGCTTGACTAAAAGGAGTTGGCTCACACGCCTTTTCCACCGCGCATCATTTCGCTTCGTCCCTCCGATTGTCTGCCTAGATCAATGAGCGTACAAAAAATATATATTCGAAATCCATTCTCGTAATTGGCTTATTTAATTCCGTTATTCACTGACGCGGATTAAGTCAATAATTATACATGAGGATTGGCGACATATATATTTCGACATGTATATCCCAATAACGATCATTTGTCCGATCTAACTGGTGTCAGATCTCGGGCCACAAAATTCTAAATCATAATTCATTTTCAAAACTATAAAATCAGAAACATTTTGAAGAAAATTCAGATAATTATTTTTACAAAGATATATCAAAATATGTTTTAACTTCACGATATGTGGTATTTTAGGTTCATTCCACCAGGTATGCTTTCGCCTGGGATGAATTGTTGGCTTCAGATCAAATTTACTCCAAAACTAAATAAAAATTTAACTGGTGAACTAGAATTTTTATCTCCAACTGGACCATTCTTTATTCCGTTTAAAGCAACTGTAAAAAAATGCGAGGTAAGTTTAACTTTACATTAGGTTACTAAAATAAACAGCTAGAATTATACATACAAACATTTTTCAGTTTCTGATAAGCAACTACTTACCTAACTATAACTAACTATCCTGACGATCAATTATAGCATCTTGGTGACCATCTCTTACGTGAAGATACTGAGAGCATACTGTATACCAACGTACATAAAATCAGTTATTTTATGCAACATTTCATTCTGTAATATAATACTGGATAATAGATATCTGGCACACATGAAAAACTAATTTGTAAGTAATATTATGGTTTATAGTGTAACACAAAACTGATATCTAAATGAGTCAAAATGTTGACGTTTAGTGAAATATTTTAAAAAGACATCCAGGGGTACGGAGACGCATTATTTGACGGGTAAAAAAACTAATGCCTTTTGGGATATCATGAACCTTTGTTTATAATTAAAAAGTAACGATCATTTCTCAAGAATTCTAAAACATTCAACTAGTCTTTATTTATGCTGTTTCAGAATTGATTTTCGTTTAATGATCTGCTTGGTTCACGTAATCTTTCTAGACAGTATGAATGACGGAAACTTTAAAAAGAAAACTTTTTAAATAAGCCATTTATTCAAGGAAACAAAAGTCGTCAAAATTATGCTTCTGGGACATTTTTCACAACATTTAAGATTGGGATACAGGGATGATAAATACGTTTATTTTTATTTTAAACTTGAGCATTGTTGTAGATTGGTTTAACTTTACCAGGATACTATTCATCGATATTTCAAATCCTTTTACTACACATACAATCAATATTACTAGGTACGCAAATTTTACATAAAACCTTGAATTTATGTTTATTTTTCAAATTATTACAGAATTAGATATTTTATGCAAAGAACAATTATAAACGATTCCCGCTTTAGATAGTTTCTATTCGACAACTTTGTTAATTCGCTTTCGCATAAACAAACATAAACTTTATTTAATAAAATTAACTTAAAAATCACAATTTTTAATATAAATATGTCACTCACTTTAAACATGAAGCCAGTCCATAATTAAATATTCTAATAGTTAAATTCATGAGTCAAATGAAGCTAAACCACCATGGAAAACATGGAAGCACTGGAGGGTTGTGGATGCGCACTACTGAGGAGTCCCGTACTAGTACGAAACGACCGTACAGTCTTCCAGGTTTCCCATGACGGTCTAGCATCAATCGATTCATGAATTCAGCTATTAAAATTACTATAATATCCACAAAACCCCTCTCTAATTAAATATTCATTTTGTTCACTCCACACTTCTATTGATTCAAATGAGATAAATTGAAAAACGTTAAACTTGGTATCAAAATATTGATCCAATTTATCACAACAGAAATTAGATACAATAAGAGTAGAATATGATATGATGAGAACCCACTAGTCAAAATTAGAATATAAATAGTAGTAGAAATTAATCAATTGATTGAGTCAAAATAATTACTGAATATATTTGAACAGCAGCTGAATCCAAACCATGATTCCCACATAAAAGTAATTCATGTATTCGATTCGGGAGCTTTAGTAAATGCATATGAGTGACACCACAAACCATGTGGTTATTTCAAGTTTTTAGTAATCTGATATTAGTGTACAATCATGTTATTCGTCAGTTTAGCTATGTTTGAAGTATAGTGCAACTCATAGCACACCGTAAAAAAACATCTGTTTCACATACAACAACAACCTTATAGCCCACTTATCGTTGTAAATTTAACTGTTTTTCATAAAAAATAACGTCATTTATATTGGCAATTCGATTGCGTTAACAGTGTCGAAATGCAGTTTTTATCAGCCAAAATAAAAGTTGACATAATCTAAATGAATTCTAACAATATATTACTTAATTCATTTGTTTTCTTTACTGTATTTTGCATCCAGTTGTTTGTCGCATTTTGTTTTTTATCAGTTTACCATAGATTGTAATGTGGTGAATTTCGGTGAAGTTGTTATTGGTGAAACTGTCTTTCGAAGTGTAAAACTGTGTAACTCTGGTGCAAAGGGTGCTAGATTTACCTTCAAAGGATTGTCTGAAAGTTACAAGGAAAAGGATAGTGATAACATCAAAGAAGGTTCACAAGAGACTATCAATGCAAAGAAGGGTATCGATGAATCGATTAAGAATGATGAACCGAAAATCGATGAAAAGGTACAGTTTTAGTACATAAACATACTACATACTTTCAATCCAGTCACAGTTTTGGGAAAATGTCCCTTTGTTTTTCATTACCTTAACCATCATCAGTCTTATTTCAGTAATATCATCATCATCATCATCATCATCATCATCATCATCATCATCATCATCATCATCGTCAACATTCTACTCAATCTTCAATCTATTTTCAATTATTATGTCTTTCAATAGTTGAAATCACGAGTCAATTGAAGCTAGACCATCATGGAAAACCTGGAAGCACTGGACGTCTGTTTCGGTCTAACTTCAATTGACTTGTGATTTCAGCTACTGAAATTACTAAAATCTCCACAATACACCTGATATTATATCTTTCCTTAATGATAAAAATACAAGTCATTTCAAACGTTATTTTGTTAGGTATTTCATACTACTTATTTTCTAAAACAGTAAGACGTTCTATGCTGGTAAATTCTGTGATGGAATTTGATTTAAACGATGTATATTACTTTAAGAAGTCATATAGAATAACATTTTGGTTAGCGTTGTCTCATGTGTCAAAAGGTTTTGAAGTATTTTCCGTGTGAATATTACCGAGGACTATCCATGTGATATCCACGGGCATAAGTAGACTACGTGAACTAACAGTAGCAATTTACTCTCCTAATAATCACCAAACGTTTACACTTTGAAAATGTTTCAGATTAACAGAGAATATCATGGTTTATTGACAGAACTCAACTATTTTGGGTGACCACGCTGAAGTTTTCAGTAAAGATTTCCGTTTTGTACCATTTGAGACTCGTCAACTAGATGTACCTGCATTCCAGAGTTGATGTTCACAGGATTCACATATGCAAATCAGAGACTGGTCAATTAAAGTCCCAAACAACAACGGGAATATACAAGCAAACAATACCAAGTGAATTCAAGCATCACGTCACTGAATAAACAGGTGGTTTTCAGTAATCAGTAGGTAAGTGGATAACGCGATGGCGTTTAAAGTAAACGGTACTGCGTTCGAGTCTCAGAGTGAATATTAATCCTGGGATGCAGGCACATCCAACTGACGAGTCCCAAATAAGACAAAACTCGTGTCTTGGATTCAACTGCTTGCCACCATCTATTTTCGCCTATGATATTCAATCCTCGTTAAAGAAATGAAAACGAATTGTATTCTAGTCAGTCAAGTTTGTGTTTGTAAATGATAATATCAGTAAATATTTTAAATATGCTCAGAAAAGCCTTTAGCAGGCTTTAGTATTGTTTCTATGCGATGACATATTAGAAAGTAGGATTGCCGAATCCCAGAGTATGTAGGACGTTTTCCACTTTTTATTTGTAGTTGATATTCTTTTATACCATCGTTTAATGTAAAAATATGTTTGATATCCATATTTTGTAGGAAGGTGTGATATTCTTCACAAACTTTATAAACACCCTAAGACTGTAATATATTATTCCTTATTGTGCTGAAATCTGACATTCTCTGTGAGATTTTTCTATCTCGTAACACTCAAATTTTTTTAATGACTTACACCAGAATTTAAAAGAAGATATCGATGCATACGTTTAAATATCTATCAATGATTTACCGAATGATGTTCATATTCATTCAATATAAAATTTCCATCCATCTGGCTCCATGATAAAAGAAACTATAGGGATCGTCGAGTGAAATAAATTAGAATAAGTTAATAATCCATTCGAAAAGAGAGCCATTAAGGTTTACAGTAGAAGCTTGAAATTATTTGTCAAAGTGTTGAATAGATAGTTTATTGCAAGTAAATCACAAAGGTTATCTTAGCTATGTAATACATTCAGATAAAAAGAGTGAACTGAGTAGCTACTTTGAAGCTAATCGCATAGTTCTCATTTACACACTAACTATAAACATCTATTAGTCATTAAATTGTTTATAATTTACTTAACCACTGTGCAATGAGGCAATTTCAAGTGTTTCTATTAGACTATTTATATATGTAATTTTCATACTTTTTAAAGAATGAACCTAATACTCAGGAAAGAGAATCTGAAAACATTCTATGTGAAAGTGAGTAATTTTATGTAAATTTGTGTTAATTGCTCCTATACGTCTCATTAACTAATACATAAATGAGATTGGTCTTTACAGATTATTGTTTATTCTACTAATCTATCTTAAATGATAATGTTGTGTTTGTTATTCCGATGACTTCATGTAGATTATCAGTTAATATATACATAAATACAATTCTGAGTAAACGATCATTTGTATCGTCAACAGATATCACCAGTACGTGAAACTATAACAAATTGTAGCATTCTGAATATCAGTGATCTAATGACACATCATCAAACTAAGAAAACGTCAAATGTTATTTCGTAAAAGACATTGAATACTTATGGTAATTATTCGTTTCTAGCTCAGTAGTATCTGTTTAACTCCGAATAGGCGAAAGGAAAGTCTTTCTTTTTGTATTATTGGACTTTTGAATATAAAGCAACTCTGGACTATAAATTATCAGCTTTACTATGGTGAGAAATACTGATAAGATTGCTTGTAAGTTATATATAGCGGAATTGGTGTGGAAGCTGTCATAGTTGGCATAGGAAGAGAAGAGTTTGAGTAGGTCAAAAAGCGTCAAAGCTCTTAAAGACCAGAATAGAAGACAGTTTGGAATAAACTAGATTCCAGGACGCAGTACAAGGTGTAAATGGATGATCGAAGTCTATGTGTATTACACAAATACTTTATAATTTTCACTCTCTTCCTGGGACCAAACAATATATCATCGCATACAATATTCGGCCTCCCAAAACTAGGAAAATGCTTATAATAATCTACACTAAATGACCATCTAAAGTCTCAACGCATTACCGGAGATTTCGAGCTATTATAGATTCATCGAAACATTTTGCAAGTTCTAAGGTTTAAACTAACAAAACATTCGTTGCTTCTCAGTGACTGTAACACTTTAATGACTTGGAAAAGCATATTATAACTATGTTTATAACAAAACCGACAGTAATTAATTAATAAGTTCCTATTTCGTCATAAATTACAGGGCTTTAAATAGAAAATAGTAACGGTTATAGGTTATACAAGTTTTCTCACTGTTAAACATTGAATTTATTACCTAGGCATGAAATAATAATGCCTCATCTTCCATGTACTCCAAAAGACTTAATGTAATTCATTACGAGTATGCACTGTAAAGATTTACTATCTTTAAATGAAACGATTTGAAAATCCCAAATAGTACTTCACTGTGATTAGACTTATTTAATATCGAAATGTAGTTGCCATTTTTATCACATCATAGTACTAGTTGATTAGATGTACCTTTTATTGAGAAAAATTATGTTTATCGATCTTCTAAATAATAAGAGTAATACATTTCTGAACAGGAAAGTGGTTCTTGGTTTACGCTCATTCTGCTTGAATAATTTAGTGTACATAATTTTGATTCTTTATTTAACATTAGAATTAGAAATCATTCGGTAAATCGCAACTTGAGTTGATGTACTTACGTACGAACTCCTACGTCGTCACTGACTGACTGACTGACTACAAATAATATTATGCTAAATAAACGAATGAAATGAAAATATCCATTCTGAAAATTGTCAAATTCGTTACACTTAACATTTACTTCATATTTCAATGAATTAGTAAACATTTTAGGTAACGATCCACTTTATTTCGGTTTTCTTACACTGAAGAAGTAGCTTACATTAAGTCACGAAACTTCAGAAATACAATTTTCTACTCATTAGAGTATGACATATATATATATATATATATATATATATATATAAATCAGTCAACCAGGCACATTTATGCGTCGGTCCAAGTTGTCATACTTCATTAGCACAACAACATCAACACCGAATTCATAGAAGTAGTTAATTCAGTGGTAGTAATATATAAAAGAAAGATTGCATATTAGGATATAGTACAGGAAGAAAGAATTAGTTGGTAGAAAGAAAGATATGAAGCGATTTTAATCTCACAGTTTAAGGAAAGACAGAGAGTGTATACACCGACGCCATTGTGATCCATTCTGAGCCATGTCACCAAGAGTCTCCAACCATTGGTTACAATAGTCACGCGGACCCCAACCAGGCAGTCTGCATCCACCAACATGGCTCAGACCAGAAGTTAGTGACTTCAAGCACTGATGCCACGTTTTGATTTGACCGCCCCTAAATTTCTTCCGATCATCCCTAACACCGGTTAGCATTGCGCGCCGTGGTAATCGGTGTTCAGGCATACGCACTACGTGGCCCAACCATCTCAGTCGATGAAGATTCATAACCTCATCAACTGATTTACCATCATTCCCTAATACTCTGCGTCTGATCTCACTAGTACTTACCCGGTGATCTCAGCAGATGCGAGCAATATTTCCAAGCCATCTGTGGTGAAATACTAATAGCTTATGAAAATCTTGAACTCTTAATGGCCACGTTTCGCAGCCTTAAAGTAAAACAGAATGAACTGTCACGTAGCATACTCGTCCTTTTATTGATAGATGGATATCTTGCCTTAGCTATAGGTTACGTAAGTTGGCAAAAGCCAAACGAGCTTTTCGAATCCGTGCTGAGATTTCGTCAGATACCAACCAATTAGGGCTGATCAAACTTTCAAGGTATTTGAAGTTGTCAACGCGTTCGACTACTTCACTCTCTAACCTTAGTTCAGGTGCTGACGTAGACCAGTCCTGCAGCAACAACTTGCATTCAGGGGGATAGAAATGCATTTCAAACATTCTGGTATTGTTTCTCAATGCTACTAAAAGACTCTGTATTTTATAAGCGTCTTCATCAAACAGGACTATGTCATCTGGAACTCCTAATAGGAGATCAATGCCCTAGAATTTAGTTGACGAGATCGTTATTTCCATCAGTAGGTCTATGATGAAGTTAAACAAAAATGGAGAAAGTGGACAGCCTTGAGGTTGAGAGATCAGATAAAGGTTGCCCATAAGCTCTGACTCGACTAGCAGTGTTCGAATAAAGAGCCTTCGCAAGGTTTATGTACCTCTGAGGTACACCTTTCAATGACAGACACTGCCACAGAATCTCGCGGTCTACGGAGTCAAATGCTGTTTATAATTCAAGAAAGACCACCATTGTCGGACGCCGATAAGTATATCTGTGTTCTAGAACCTGACGAATGGTGAATATGTGGTCGATGCAGTCACGATCAGGTCTGAAGCCAGCCTGATTTTCTCGTGTTTGCAGTTCACGAGTCTTAGTTAGGCGACCGATAATTATTGACGTTAGTATTTTAGATGCTATGTTGGTCAAACTAATCCCTCTATGGTTGTCACAGGATGATTTTGACCCGCTCTTAAATATTGGGACGACCAGTGATTGTAGCCAGTCAGATGAGATTATGTCCAACTCCCAGATTTTAGCTAAAATATTAGTCAACCTAGTCGCTAGGATTAGACCACTATCCTTAAAGACCTCTGAAGCAAATCCAACTAGACCAGCTGCCCTTCCTCGTTACTGATTAAATATAGCTTTTTGAACTTCAGCTAGAGTCGGGAGACATGTATGTATCAAAATGAAATTAATTAACCATAGTTCACAAAAATTCGACAGATCATGTATATCCTGGTATTTTATTATTGTTTCTCTGAAGAAATTTTTAATGAAATATTTTCTAGATCGACTAGAAAGGTTTATTTGTTTAACACTTTTTCAGTGGAAGAACATCAAAACAATAATCAAGATAAAAATGAAAAACATCATTCTACTTTTAACAAATTTTCATCTAATTTTATATCTGGTGAATTAAAATCCGGATATTTAGAACCATTCTCTTCAGTTAACTTAAAAATTATTTGGAATCCTAATAACATTTCTGTCAATATTGATGAATGTATTATGGAAGAAGAAAAATTTATTATTAATTTTGATGATCCTGATAGTTCAGATATTTATATACATGCTTTTGGTTATCCTAAAAATATTCCTGTGTGGTTATCAACGTCCAATTTATCTATGGGAATATGTTGGTTTAATCGACTTTATCAAGAATGTTTTGCTGTACATAACAGAACAAAGTCTGCTCTCAAAGTTGTATTTGAAGTTGATAAAGAAATTTCAAATCATTTAAAAGTTTTACCAAAAACTGGTTTTGTTCAAGTAAGTTTCATAACTTAAATTATTAAACTTTAATTTAATATAGAAAATAAGTATATATATATATATATATATATATATATATATATATATATATATATATATACATATACATATATATATATATATATATATATATATATATATATATATATATAGTTTTTCTCTCAATATTAAAACAAATTCTCAATGTCAGTAATCCATTGAGTATGAACTACTACATTCGTGAACCTGATAAGTCTTGCTAATTGAACGCTATGTTCGGTTCCTAAGCTATTTCGTAACCCCCAAGGTAGAACTACACAGAGACTTGGACACGAGAGAAAAGGCGCAAGATATGCGAGAAGCACTTTACTCCAAATGTTTGTTCTAATAAAGAAATTATAAGGTTTTTATAATATTTTAAATGTCCTTGGGTTTCCCCTAAAATTCTGGAATGTCACTAAACATAGTAGCAGTATAGTAATCAGCCAATCAGAAACTCTACAAGTGACTTCACTTTCTTCATGTTTCTAGCTGAACTTCAAGTGAACGCTGAGTGGATGAAATTCTTTTTAGTGTTTCCTGAGCCTTTCTTGTCTTTTGCGAGTTCTCTGGACCACCCCAGAACCAAAATTAGCAAACATTATCTCAAAAACGTGCTTACAAGGAAGGTTTAAAAAGTTAGAATTGATGATAAAAAGTCTCTTTCGAAGTTAAAATGACACTCTAAAAATCTTAATAACTAGTAATTCCCTGTTCGTACTCATCTATTTTGTGATGGCAAAGTCAATCGACAAGGATTGATTACCTTCGTTTTCGTTCAAAATAAAATATCGAGCAAATGATTTTATTATTATTTAGATTAATAATAGATATTTATAAAGGATATGTATGCTGAATAATTAGACTAGTCAAACATGTTGTTCCTATAGCGTTTTTCTGTAACACCGTTTCTTTTATTTTTAATTCAGTTTACACAATTGCTTATAATTAATGAAGGAACTAAGCATATACAGACATGTACTCGTATGAATGAGCCACAGTACTAAATATGTCTAGCTTTAAATATTAACAGCTTCATTTGAACCTTAGAAAACTAATAAACCATATTTGTCGCGATTAACTATTGCTTAAGCTAAAGTTATCCATATATATATAATTTGGCTTTACAGGCTGAAAGTCGATTATTGGCTCAAGTAAAACTGTTGCCAAAACTCAGTTTACCCGATGATCTTGCACACTTCTGTGATCCAGATAACAGTAATTCTCATGCAGAAAGTGAGAACGAAAAATGTCTCTCAAAGTTATCATATGATTCCCAAACAGGTGTACTTCAAGTACCAGTTACTGTCCATGTTGTAGGTCAAACTAACAAACTAAAGTTTATAGTTGATGCTGTAATTACAACAACAGATTTAGTCCTTTCTCCAAATCCAATCAACTTCGGTTTTGTTGAAATTCATGAAACTGTGGTAACACGACTATCAATAACAAATAATAGCTTGCTACCCCAGAATTTTGGAATTGTCGAACTGCCTGAGGTGAGTGTTCATCTAATTCATTTGATTATATAATATATCCTTTTTTTGCAGAATGTACAAACTGTGAAAATAAAATTCTTTTTAAATAATGATTGAGATTCTTAACGACACGATAAAATACAGCTTCTTAAGAAAGATTTGTTGGTTATTATCATAAAAATCTACAAAACTATTCGCGATATCCTGACGGTATGTTTTTGAATTGTTCTCGATAACTAACTTTATGGACAACAGCTTTATGGCTAATAACTGAAGAAGCTGGGTTGATAAACGTTCTTAAAATAAAATGTAGCACATACTAGTATAACTCGAAAATTCTAGGATCTTTGTCAATGACTTAGCCCTATTGAAGTTACTTATAATAAACGGAAATCACTACAAATTGAATATACAAATTATTATCCACAAAACAACTACCAAGCAGTTTTATCATTTATGGTAGGAATATTGTCGTCTTTATTACTATTATTATTGTTAGTATCACTAATGTTCACAAATCCCGTGGTATAGTCGAGGGTGGGAGAGTCCGATCTCTCTCTCTCTCGAAATGCTCGCATATGCTCACGCGTATACAGCTATTGTCATGAATGTCCTACTCACTGCCTCCTCGCGGAGGGGCTGTTGTTCACGAAATTGAGAGGAAAAGCGAACGTCCGGAGCCTTAACAAAGTTGGTGGATACGGAGCGTCCATCTAAGAGAGTTGGAAAATCCTGATTCCAAACTAGTAGTGAACATTGGCTCCAGGATCCTGATGGAACAAATGGTATATGAAACTATTGTTTGCCATTGGCTACGATGGGACTGTATCTTCTAACATTACCCCACTGCCTTGTGGATTAAACCTTTAGGTCAAACGCTCGGGGTGTGGCTCCCGGAGGCAACCACGTCCTTCGGCTTGGGCACCCCAGTAGTATATCAGCCACAAATTGAGTGAAGTATAGCGCATATATATTTGATACCTCCATGTACCAATGTCTATGTGTTTAAATAAATATCATTGTTAATAAAGGAGTAATTATCGTCATTTGACCATTTATCGCTTTCTAACTTATGTTTTATAGAGAGCTTTTCATGTAATAAAAAAAACCCCTTTTTTCGTTGAGTTATTGTTATAACTTGTGAATCAAATGCTTATTGTCTTGGCTCTTTTAATGCTACCTTTTGTATCTGGTCGTCGCTGATTGTTATGGCGGAAACGCTTGTCACTTATACTCGGAACGAGGGACCTCCGTAATTCTCACGACGCAAAAGTACGAACACAAAGACTGGTGTAAGTGATGATTTATTAACCCCAAAACACGACGACGACGACGACGATTCTAGTATAAAATACACTCGTTTATATATTGATTGTATACCCATTTTGATTAATAATTAAGATGAAATCATATATATGAAAAATACTCAGAATTATAACAAATCACATACTGAGCATAGTTCAGATCGATGGAATACAAGAATATCGTATATTATACAGAATAAAATATCATACGAGAAAAGAAAACAAATACTACATTGAGTAATCATTACATTGAATCGAAACGGATGTAATCTTGAACAAAACTCGTATTGAGTAAATCAATCAAAAATTGACTTTTCTTTCCATCATATCAGTTATGAAATAATTGATGAACGACTGGTTAATTATAATGTCAGAATCATCATTTTCAATAAAATTTCTGAACATTTCCATACAAATCCAACGGTGTTGTTGATAGTCTACCTTGATTTGTTCGTCAGACATTCTCCTGGCTATCGCTTTCACTTCATTCCTCTTTATCACATTCCGAACTAGATTTACGCGACACAGAATATGGTGGGCATTCGTAAACACCTGCGTGATAGCAGCCGCTATTGCAGGTGAGTCATCGGTCACTATGCCAACCACGTGTCGATTGTTGGTACACCGTTCGAAAAAACGCAGGAACGTTGTAATAAATGTCGACGTTTCATGACTTAAAAAGGCAATGCACATGGGTATTGCCTTAAAATTCATGTCCAGAGCAACTACCTGATATAAATGGACGTTCTGGTTATTCGTTTTGTACGTCCCGTCAAAACCAATAACGTTACTAAAGTAACCAGCCCAATTCAATTATTCTGCAGTCATGAAGAAAAAATACGATAGACAGTTCTCTTCATCTAATTCGTATTCGCACAGCCCACTCAAGGATATTATGTGATCTTGTAATTTGCCGTAATCACCTATGGGGTACATTATAAATTGGCAAATTGCTTATCTGGAAGGTTCGCGTGTGAGAACAGTTTATACCGCATATTACAGACGTCTTAATCAGTTAGTCGTTTACCATAAGATTGGTAAACAAAATTCTTTTCGTGGAGTGCTGCGGTACCAGATATCAGCAGCGGTTTAACAGCTTCAAGCTCACCTTCCGTTAACCTACGCACCCATGAATTACATTCGTACCTCAGGGAACTGCACTCGTGATTGTGATCCACATTCCCACATACGACAGTCCAGTAGCCGTCTACAATCTTACAAAATATGAAAACCGGACATTGGGTGTTCATGGAAGCGCTTCGTGAAACAAATTATAATAACATTAACCAAATTACCTCCTCCGTCTAATACGCTGTGACGAACCGCTAGATGTTATACGCACGTTTCTCCAACACACAAATTTTATATAAGGTTGTTATAAACACTTCATCCAGTTCCGTTACATGAGAAACAACAGCGCTTGTACTTGGAACGTTACTGTCCTCCATAATGACGATTAAAATGTACATCGTCTACAAGTACTGATAATTTATAACAATTTTCAAGACATAACTAACCAATTACATCGAAGTTTTAAAACTACCCATTTCATTGGACAAAACAGGGGATAAAAAATATTGTAATTTGGGGGTGGAAAAAATTTTTCCGGGGTGTGGGGGACAATTTTAAAAAAAATTGCCGGTGGCATAAGATAATTCTCATATTTCACTTTACATTTTAAATAAGTATTCTTTGCCCATATACATCTTGATTCAAATAAACAACTATTAATTTATTATTAGTTGAAATTGATCATAATCTTTAAGTTACCGGCTTTTTTATTCATTTTGAAATAAAAATGACTTACTGACAAATTCTACTTGACATCTGATAAATATTAATGTTGTTCCGATGGATAATTTCCTACGATAAAATTATAACCATAAGGCTACGCTCTGTAAATGTAGTAGGATGATATATCTTTACTATATGATGAAGATTTTATTGTAATTTTAGATTGCTTTATTCCGAAAATGCTCGATTCCAGTAATGTTTCATATTATTCGCGGATAAAGATGTACAGTTAAGTTTTCACCATCAACTATTAGATAGTAATGTCGGTTATTATGTTAAGACTATATACCTTAATCTAGCTTTCGAACAGGCCAATCTATTCATTCTATTTGAGTCACATTTTGAACTTGTTAATTATCCTCTTATCAATCTTGACTGTGTGTACCCTTCTTATCCCATTCATCACATGTCTGTAGCTTCATTTTGTGTGATTATAAATATTGATTAACACTTGACTAAATGGAGTCGGCTCATATGCCTTCTCCACTGCGCGTCATTTCACCTCGCTCTCTTCTCTTCGCTTCTCCGATTGCATAAAATACACGTATTCGAAATTAATTCTTGGATTTGACTTATTTAATTCCGTTATTAACTAACGCGATTTAAATCGATGATTATATACGAGAATAGGTGACACATATATTTCAACAGCAATCATTCAATAACGAACATTCATATGATCTAATTGGAGTCAGATCGCGGGCCATTAAAAGGTTTATCAAATAGTGTAATATTAAAGAGTATGAGTATATCTGTTTTATATAATCTATTTATTATTTTTCTTTAATACCATCAAATCCATATCAACTGTCCTTCATTTATTTATCTTGAAAAAAACTGAACTTTATGACTAATTATTTGGCGAGACTATTTGGACGAACCAATCAGATTTAAGATAGCTGGTCTTAGATTTTTGTGCGAGATTCATCTATTCATTTAGCTAAATACCATTTCAATAAATGAAATCGTGAGTCAATTGAAGCTAGATCACCATAGAAAATCTGGAAGCATCATTCCAGCTAATATCATTTCGTAATGAAAATATTAAATATAATTTTTAACTCTAACGTTCAACTGTGAATCTTAATCCTAGTTTCTCACACTAATTTAGAACCCTTATTTAACCTTAATAAGTAGATGAACACTTTCAATGTCATTTTAACATTGATCAAAAGTTATTCATAAATTGTTATATCAACTTACATAAGAACAATTAAAACATGGATTTAGAATAGTCAATTTTGTAAATTACAAAGAAAGTTTTAATAAAATATTTCATATTTATTTCTTTAAACTAAAGATAATATATTCAGTTATTTTTTATTACGCATACTTGATTCATTGTTCTCATTCTAATGTTTAATGCTTAATGAAGTTTTATGTATGTTAAATATATATGGATTATGAAATAATAAAAGAACTTTTCAAGACAAATGAATGATTAATACGTTTACTTGTTTCGTTGAACAGTTTCAAAGTATAACTGATAGAATAATAATTATTGGTAGTGTAAATTATTCAATATTTTCAAGGTTTCATATTGGTGTAAGTTGAATAGTTAATTTAGAATAAATTAAGCCATTAATGAAATGTTTTTTTTTTCTCTATTGGAATTTAGTTTGTTGATATTCAACCAAATGATGGTTTTGGTATTATACTTGGAAAAGAAACAATTGAATTGGAAGTATTGTTTCAACCAAAAAAAGCAAAAGAATATCATTTCGTTTTAGTTTGTAAATCGGGTATTGGACGGTAAGTTGTAAGTTTATAATGGCTGAAAAAGATATATATATATATATATATATATATATATATATATATAACATTTTTCAATGAGTCTAAATTGTTTCTTTTACATGTACGTGATTGTTACCATTTTTGTACGCATGAGGAAATGTATTGTATAGAAATCAATAATGATGAAAATGACTCACGTATCCGTAACAATAGTTGAGGAAGGTTCACTGTTTCATTAGTCTATTGACAGCTTCTATCTGAAAACTTACGTGTAATTTAATCATTATTCATTAGGTAGTTCTATCATTCAAAAGCACTGTTTCAGAATGACCTATGTCAACAAAGGACACACATAAATAGGGAAGAGTAATCGAACAATGTCATCAAGTGTTATTAAACATGTGCCTAGATAGCTTCAAAACCAGTGTCAAATGGTCTGATCAACGTAGAAGGTAGAAAACCATTTTTATCGATAGCGAAACTCATAAATGAAATGGGGCACAAAATTGACATTATTGAAGCTTTTAAAACATTTAAACATTAAAATTAAAACACGAAGTTCAGCGAAGGGATCTCTTTTCAACGAATTTATTATCAAGCTTTTTATTACGTTATGGTTAACCGTTTCACATTTCCTCACGGAATTAGTAATTTTACAAAAACAAAATTTTCATATTTATAAGATTGTACAGCTTGATAATAAATTCGTTGAAAAGAGATCCCTTCGCTGAACTTCGTGTTTTAATTTTAAAACGTTGTATAAAAATTGTCAAGGACGATTTCTCAGGTTTATTGGATCCATGGCTATTCGTGAATTCAAAACCCCTTAATGTGTACAAAAACAATTTGTCGTAACCTTTTATGGCCTAAGATAACGCGACATTTTCTTATTCTTTCTATATGACGTAAGAAAATGCTTCTCTCCCCTTTATTACCTTTTTTACTTGAACTTTAATTTAATTGACCTTTATTAATTTTCATATACAATGTATACGTGTGACCAGATTGTTCGAAAAGCATAGAGCAAATACATCACGGTTTTTTAGATCAAATCCGTCTTCTAATTGCTCTATCGGAAAACATACCTTTGGATTAAATATTTGACAACCGAATAGTAAAGCAGATTGCTTTTTATAGGCAGAAAGATGGATGTCACAAGTTTTAGAAAATGACAGGGCGTTTAATATCAATACCTAGATCTCATAACATTGGATTTGGCAAGACTTTCAAGACAAGTGAATTTGTTGACGACTTTAATACCTGGTTAGACTAGGTATCCATCTAGAGCAAGTCCGAATCAGTGCTAAAAATCTCATAGATAGAAAAATGGATCCAAAGCATCCTTTCTCTGTTCATGACATCAAACAAAGATTTAAAAATTAGGTTATAATTCATTCATAATAATTGCATAATCCATCAGATGGACTTAATAAACTAAGTGTTTAAATCGTATCCTATATTTTGAGTCGAATAACTATCTTCAAAAAAAGTACTCAGACTTTTGTTACCGCCCTGGACTACTGTTGCTATTCTAACTAATAATTACTGTCATAAAGATTACTATGCAATTGTTTTGATAAATACCATTAGATCGGCTGTATTGTAAACGCTTGTTGTAATATCCATGAAAAGTCACGAATATTAGAATCCTATTTTCACAAATTATCATATACTAAACAAGATTCTTTTATTTAAAAAATTAATAATATTCACCAAACTGCTTTCGATTTCTAATTCTACCATTTTTGATTTTTTTAACAGTATCTTTACTACAGAATGTACTGGTGTCGGGGTTTACTCACCGTTAAGTTTATCTACTAATCAACTTTATTTTAATCCTACACCTATCAGTGAATCAAATACAACCAATTTAAAAATTCACAATCACCATACTTCAGCTAATCCTTTTACTCATGTACAACCATGTATTGGTACAGATACAAAACCTGTTCCAGTAGGACCTAGAGCATTTGAACTCCAAGTTGTAAAAGCTACAATCACTAATTCTTATGGTTTAATTGCAGGAGATAATCTATCAAATGATCTGTTGGAATCAATTTTATCAAACTTGATTAGTTTTTATCCAGCTACTGGAACACTAAACCCTGGAGAAGTAAGTTAATTTTTGTCTTAAAAAGTTTTATCGGAACAAACAGTTTATCATAGTTTATTTTCATGTCGCTGACTTAAATTTATTAATTCATTGTACATAAACGTCATCCAGTCAAGAGATCAATTCAAACTAATTTGTATTGTAACTTGACAAATTTCAAGGAAGAACCAATGTTAATATTTCTGCTCATATAGCACAAGTTCTGTATTGAATCAGTGTGCTAAACTAGAATAAGATAGATTTTTTAGAATATTAATAAATTCAAATAGATAAACTTATAGCCTGAGATATAATATGTATACTGTCTAAAGTTTACAATGGTATCATACAATGACATTTTATTTTCGCCGGTAGGAATATTGTGAAAGAATGTCTTCTTTTTTCAATCTAAGTTGAATGCATTGTAAATCCAGGCATAAAATTGAAACTATGATAACATTACACAGATTTTATCATAGTAATGCTATTTACAATTAAGTTTACTCAATAAAATAGATGTTAAAAAGTATATTCATATTCATTTCTATGTTACTACTCATTTTTGTATTGTAGAGTCAACAAATAAATATACGTTTTTCACCGTGCTTAAATAAACAATGTATACAGAGAGAAGCAAGTCGATTGTGTGATATAGATAAACAAAAACGAAAAAAAGAACAATCCCTCGTAAATGAAGAAGATAAAACTGTAAAACTTAATAAGGTAATATTTGATTTATTATAGGTATACCATCAACCTTTATATAAAGTTTAAATAATAAACACATATATCAGAAGGGGTTTTGTGGAGATTTTAGTAATTTCAATAGTTGAGATCATGAGTCGATTGAAGCTAGATCACCATGGAAAACCTGGAAGCATAGGACGGCCGTTTCGTCCTACTGTGGGACTCTTCACATAATACGATTTTATTTTTTGTTGTGAACAGTTTTCTACCTGAGCTACAAATTTTCTCCACCATCTCAGAATGTTTTTTTCATTGCAAATAACTGTTAATCATAGTCGAAACTTTTACTGAATTTTAATCAAAAATATTTTTTTCACAGTTTGACATTTTTTGGAAAGAACTTTCAGAATAAACTAACCTTCAGTCCAAAATTATTTATCTTCTGATGATCTCAGTCTTCAATAAATATTGTCTTCAAAATATAAAATTATCACATACTTTTTTTAAAATTGAAAAAACATGGCCGGTAAGAGTTGAGGATATTTGTAGGTTACTAGTATTCGATTACAGATGTCTTCGAAGCATTGCTGGTATATCCTGGGACCATCGAGTAAGTAACTCAATTGTTAGAAAACAGGTTGTAGTGGCTCACCAAGTTTGTTGAGGCAAAGTTCCTCTTAATCTGACTCCAATATATATTATCTCGTTAAATGTGTATTTAATGCAGGCTTAATCTCCTAGTAGAATTATCGATTTACTCGAGATTATTCAAAAGCCCAAATATCAGTTATACAGATAGTTTATTGTTAAAGCTTGGTAAAATCCGCAAGCATACAGCAAGCAAGCACACAGGGAAAACAGAAGTGTGTGTGTGTGAGTGAATGTGTGAATATCTCAAAATTCATTTATATATATATATATATATATATATATATATATATATATACATGTGCTCAATCAGACTCACACAGAAAATTACATGGTGAATGAAGTGTCTAAATTACAATGAGCAAATAAATAATACAGTAGTGGAATGGGATTACTACATAAGCTCCCATCCAGAACATTGATGTTTTTATTTTAAAAAATTTCTTATTAACATCTATGTTCGACAAAGAGATAAAAAACGAAATGGTTTTTAAAGTAAATGTACAACTTGATATGATGATGAGTAAGCGTTAAGTTTTCATAACAGCTTGTGTGTTGAAACATTTTATATCATGTATGTATAAATATATATTTAACATCAACGAATTGCATAAAGTTAAAAAGTAAGCATGATGAAGATCCGTGGGGCCAGTAAAAAATAGTAATGAAAATAAAGAAAGATTTTTGTGTAATAAGAGCAATCTCAGGACTTGGTCTATATAAATACGGTGGTTGCTACATACTTATCTGGCCAGTGTACTCTTCTTCTTGATCTTGTTGTGGTTTCCGTTGTTGGCGTACTTCGGAGCGAAGTGATGTTTGTTGTAGGTAGTCTGAATGTTGCTTGCTCTGCTGCAGGTTTAGACCGTTTTATGTTTGTGTTTTCTTTTATTTTACTTTAAACACAGTGGTTTTACTCTGTTGATGCTAACAGCAGTGAGCTTTTGATGATTTGCTATGTCTTGATAGTTTATATCAGGAATCGAGAAGGTATTGATATTTAATCTCGATAGTGCATATGCTGCCTCATTTGCATTGCCTTTTATGTATCGTATATCAGCTGCGAATTGCGAAATGAATTCTAGTTGACGAATTTCGCGCGGACTGTATTTATCATGATTGTTCATCAAGGGCTTAGTTAGAGGTTTGTGATCAGTATATATCGTAAAAGAATTGCCTTTTAACATATACCGAAAGTGTTTGATGGCTAGGTAGACAGCTAATAGTTCTCTACCGAATGTGTTATATTTTTTTGCGTTGTGATGTGAACCGGGAAACAAGAAGCCCTGACAAACTACGAAGGCTATTTTTCGGGACGTTATTTCATTTTATTCAAAGCTTGTAAAACACTGACATTTATTTTTGTCCCTAATCTATTCTACAGAACATAAGCTTTCGTTCGAAGTATCATTCACTGCCATACCTTTTTCTGTTCCGAAGCTATTGTAATTTAAACATATTATTTTGCACCCTATTTTCTACTCTAATTCCCAGCTTTGGACATAATTGTATTTTTCCTAATTATTGTACGTTGCGGTCGGGTTATTCACTTATTTATTCATGTACCTTTTTACACTAATCTGAATTCAGTGAATTCAGTGAATCCAGTGAGTTCAGTGGTCAGGGAAATAGATCGAGTAGTGTTCCAGTTGTCTTGTCTTCTCTCATCCGTGTGCTTGCCCATCAATCAGGTGGCAGAATAGTTTTCTTCTCTCTACCCCATCTCGAACTCACGCGTACTAGTCTCAAGGTTAAGCCGATCAGCCTATCGCATCAAGGTCGAAATCTAGATTAGACAAGTAACCTCGGCACCAAAAAGTGGGTAGACAAATCAAGGTCATAACACGTTGCGTTTAGCTTTTTTGAGAAAAATGCAAGGGGTTGCCATTGTTGATTGACACGTTGAAGTACAGCGCCTACTGCTACATTAGAAGTGTCGGTCATTATTGCTAAAGATGCATCAACCTTTCGTCGTACTAGTAATGCCTCGGTGCATAAGGCGCTTTTTAACTGTTCAAATGCTTGAATTGCTTGCGGTGTCATTGCTAATGATTTAGCTCGTCCCCTTAATAAATCAGTTAGCGGTTTAGCTATGTCTACACATTTCGGAATATAACGTCTTTAAAAGTTGATTATCCCAAGGAAACGTCGTAGTCTCTTGAATGAATCAGGTAAATGATAATTTTTGATGGCTTGTGTTTCCTCAGGAACTGGTTTGATGCCTCGATTATCAAGTACGTGACCTAAAAAGGTGAAGGATTGTTTTCCGAAATAACATTTGTCAGGGTTGACTGTTAACCTATACTCGTTTAGCTTCTCAAAAGGCATTTTCAGATGAGTTAGATGTTCATTTTCATTTTTGCTTGCGATAAGAAGGTCATCTATGTAAGCATATACGAAAGGTAAGCCACGTACTACTTGGTCGATAAAACGCTGGAAACTTTGTGCAGCATTCCTTAATCCGAAAGGCATGCGAACAAATTCGTATAAACCAAATAGAGTAGTAATGGCTGTTTTGGGAACATCGTCCGGGTGAATTGGAATGTGATGGTAAGCGCGGACGAGATCAACTTTTGAAAAAATCGTCACATCAGATAGGCTATGAGTGAAGTCATGTAAATGTGGAAGTGGATATCTGTCTGGTATAGTCCGGCTGTTGAGAGCTCTATAGTCGCCGCAAGGTCTGACTTCGGAAGAGCTTTTCTTGGGTACCATATGGAGCAGTGATGTCCACGGACTATCGGAGGGGCGTATGATACCCAACTCTATCATTTTGTTGAATTCGTTATTTGCTAGAGCCAAACGAGAGGAGTCAAGGCGTCTTGGACGTGCAAACACCGGTGGACCCTCTGTCTTTATGTGATGTACGACGGTATGTGTCAGTTTGTCCCGTTTGAAACTCGGTCGTAATAAGTCTGGAAACTGATTAAGTAAAATAACATACTTGTCATTCTCGCGATGAGATTTGATCAATAAATGCATGGACGTCTCGTTAGATATAATCGCCCTAATTTCACTGCTATGATCGGAAAGAACAAGTTTCCGATTTCTTACATCTACGAGTATTTTATGGGATTGTAAAAAATCAATGCCGATTATAGGAACGAGGACGTCAGCTATGATGAAGCTCCATGGAAAATTGGATTTAGGACCGAAATTTAATTGTAACTGCCTTCTGCCGTACGTCTTGATCTCAGATCTGTTTGCGGCTTGTAGTTTTAGTTTGGGGTCAGGTGTGTTTTTCTCAAGTGTAGTGGGTGGTACTACACTAACCACTGCCCCGATGTCGACTAAGAACTGTGTTCCGGTTCTTTTGGCTGTAACTTATAACAAACGACTGCCTTGAGAGTTGTGGTCAGCAACTGCAGTCGTCACTAACCGACGGCCTTGACGTTCCCTTTGTTGTGTGCTTGCGAAGTTACAGGGAGGAGTACATTTTTAGCTTGTTTACCGTACGTTTTATGGTACCAGCAAATGTTATGTCGAGTGGTGCTTGGACTATGACTTCTACGGCTTCAGTTTTTCGGGAATTAAAGACAGGTAAAGGTACAGAGATGGCACCCACGGAAACAGACTTAGATGAAAGGCTTGGTGAATTATCAAGTGACATGATACGAAGAAATAATAACAATAGCAATAATAATAAGCTGAGGATTGAAATATACAATATGAAAAAGTCAAATATAACAACAAGGTACTAGGTAAGGATGGCAAATCAATTGATGAAGTAATGAAACTTGATCAGTTGAGATGGCTGGGACATGTGTTACGTATGCTCAACAACCGACTGCCCCCACGTGCGATGTTTTATGGTGTAGGAGTAGGTTGGAGGAAAGCTAGGGGCGGCCAGACCAAAACATGGCACAAATCCATGAAGTCACTGACAAGTGGACTGAGTCATGTTGGTAGGTGTAGACTACCTGGTTGGGGTCCGCGAGATGATATTGACCGATGGTTAGAGATCTTGAATGACATGGCTCGAAATCGTTTGCAATGGCGCAGGTGCATCTATTCTTTGTGTTCTCCCAAGCTCTAGTCTTCTGAGTTCTTCATGTCCCTTTTTGCTCTTTTCAAATTTATTTCACTGTATTATACTCCTTGAATAACATCTTCAAACCCTAATCCTTCCGATTACTGCTTACACTCTTACTACCTTTACCACTACGGGATTTGAATCGACAATTATATCTCTGTTCTAATGTGGTATAGCAATTTGAACCGATGTACGTACGTACGAAGTTCTATGTTGTTGCTGACTGACTTTTTAAGAATGAAGTTGTTTTTATTTGGTTTTTGAATTGTGAAACATGAAACATGTAACGGTTTTACATTCTGTATTGAAATAATAGAGCACCAGGATGGACATATGTAAAGTGTTCCGTTACAAATATCAGATTTATTTTCATGTGAAACTTACGGGTCAAAATATCTTCTATCACATTACAGTGGATAAAAAAAAATCAGTTTGCAAGTATTTATTGCATCTCTATCTAAATGCATATTTTTCATTCCTATGAATGCCCTCTCTAATTCAGTTGTTTGAATTCGGTTGATGTCACAAGATTTTCGGGGACCTAAATACATTTTAAACACTTTCCAACTATTCAAACTTTTTATGAATGACTTTTCTAATCTAGTATTTACTGATCAGAAATTGCAGGTAGTTTTACTTAAAATATAACTATTGTGAGTAGCTCTTTATCGTAAAATATTACTCACTTTACAATGTTTTGCTACTATGTTCCGTGTAATTAAGATGATGGCTTACAACTAACCAAATTTATGACGCCTTTAGTGAGCACTAATCTATCCTAGATATGGTCATAAATAATGAAGAAGAACGATTAAAACTATGAATCTTCTGGAATATGTTTTTAATTTAAACGTTTTCCCCCAGATTTTAGGGATTTATCAACACAAACTTTACAAATACAATAGAGTACAATCATTATAAAATATGGTTGCTTGTAACAAGTCCAACTACTAACACTCAGCCTTATATGTAATATAATATCATATAATTAACCCGTCACTATGATATGTATTGCCTCTAGTCTTACGTTCAAGAAATCAGCCTTCGGACATAGGTGATATTTCACTTAATTTAACTCATTCTGATAATATTTAATTGATAACGTTATCATTCCTAATAACATGAAAAATAAAATCTAACAGAATATATGAATATAAAAGTATTAATTTAAATCTTATGGGAGGCTCAAAATCCAAGCATATTTCAATGTCTTTCATTTGAAGAGCTGTAAATTAACTTAGAACGTCTTGTAACACCCTGCAAATTAGTTAACCAGCTCAAGAGACCAACTGGCAGTCCAACATTTGTGTTTGAATCATTGTGCTAATAAATATTAGTATTAATATAATCTATTGATGTATTCGTAAATATTTCGCTTTCAACCTTTTATTGGTAATATGTCATACTTTACAGACCTCAAGACGGCTGACTGATATTATTTTATAGTTTATAATCCAGTTTGATCTACTAGATGCCATAAGTTCCCCTGATTTTAGTATTCTTTACGTGCAAGAATGTTTATGTTCTTAACAGTATTTTCATCATTTGTTTTTTTTATCGATAGAGGAGTTAGATTGTATTTGATATAAGCTAACTAATATCCAATGGATGAAGCCTTCTCTATATGAACATTTCTAAAACGTATATCTTCCTAGTGTTATTAAAGACCAATGTTTATCTAAATTCAGCGGAATAGTTTAAAACAAATGAAAACACAAGTTCTACAGTGTAGTACCGACAAGTACGAAATGTATTGAACTTCTTTTTCATCATGAAATACCTGGGGTTCACATCGTACGAATAAAAAATCTCCCTTTTCCATTCCTCAGTTTTCTATATTACCTTGAATAGCTTTAAAACACTGTTAATCAATGATTTTGTCAATGTATTGAAATAATCCTTAGAATAACATTTTTGTAGGCAAATCAACCTGTTGCAAAAGCGGGTCAGAGTACACCTAGTAAAAAAGACAAGATTGCAGACAAAAAAACGTTGAAAATCCCCGATGAAAAGACAACCTCGGAAACTGTTACATTCATCCTCCCAACAGATCCAGACTCAATAAACGAAGGAAGTGATGAATATACTAAAGGATTTAACTCTTTACTGACCTATTACCCATATTATCCACCTACTTTCTCCAGTAATCAAAACGAATCAGAAGTGGAATTTTCTCAATCATTAACAGAAGCAAATCAGTTGTCTGTGATTAAATTAGGCGAGCATACATGGCCTGGAGTTCACGTGGTTTATCGTGTAGCATGTTTTGTTGGTGATGGACCGGGCTCAGATACTGCAGCTAAACCCTCTCCCACTTACAAGTAAGATGTATTATTTTTATTATTAGTGAGTTATATTAGTCAGTTACACAGCTTCATCTGTTAAAGTAACAGTACCGTCCAACAATCAACTAGAAGGTTCGCCTCTGAACTCCCGTAATTTAAATCAACAAGAAAATAATGTAAAGCGATTAGTCCCTTTGATAAATATGATTTTCACCTTAATAATCGTTTTAATAATCTTTACGAGAGTTGAGTTAAGCGATAATATTCAGTTGTTAACTGAACATTTTACTTCAAAAAATTTGAATTTTTAACATACTAAAGGTATTAACAGAGGCTTTTAATTACCTGTTAGTGATTTTCAAACTCAAATTGATCAATTTATGTTATACCTTATATGCACTTCAAGTGGATTACCTCGATACTGCGTTATTTTACTTTTTTTATATTTGATGTAATTACCAGTACAATCCGGAATTCGCACTTTTTCATTTACAACTCGTTAGTTAGATGTACCAGAATCCCAGTGCTGTTATTCGCGTAACGCCTTTCGTTTCAAACATCTAAAGCTTTATCTGTGGAGCTACTGAGTTCAGATAGCCACTAACGTTTTCAACAGGTAAGAAGGTGTGAGCAAGATTTTGTGGCTATTGAAGCTATATTTACACATTCTACTCAGGATTCACATATCGAAATGAACACTAATCGACTGCAGTCAGGAATATCAACAATGATACAATCTGAAAAGTACGAATGTAAACGTCATATATGCTAAACAAGATAGGGGCTATATGGACGCAGAAGATCAAGTCACAACAAGTTGAGACTTTAAAAGAAAATATATTCCACTCAGTTTTTAGTAGAAGCAACGACACTAGGGTCCTAGTGCATCAAAATGAAGCGTTTCAAGTAGGACTTCATCTCCAAGCACATACAAAATATACCGATATAAAGAGGATCACTTGAACCTTAATTATCATCTTCACCTAAATGGGAAACATTTTATTTTTTGCGTAATCACTCTGAAAAATTAGAGGATAGTTGCTACTGATGTCATTCGTCATAAAATATCAGTTACTATCGATCATTAATTCGTACAAAATTTATGCCGTATCGTACAATGAAAGAAATAAACAAAGTATACAAACTCAAAAGTATCATAAAAATTAGGGTGAATGACTCTTTTCAAGTTTATATATCAATGAAATCAGGCGTAATAATTTATTCTAAATAATGTTTATACTGAATCATGATGTTGCCATAATGTCACACTGAGGAACCGTTAGTCTACGCACAGTTCTTAGTTAAAAACAACTATTAAAATAATTATTGTCAATAGAATACCACTTTTAAGTGATTTTGCATTTAGGTTAAACTTATAATCACTCATTTCCGGCTATGCAATGACTGAGAAATAGTTTCTGCAATTAAAATAAATAATTGTCATTAAAATTTATTGAAATCAAAATATTTAAGAATATCCTGGGCTTACAATTATATATAGTGTTGTCCTACACTCGTATACCGATAAACTATATAAAATAGTTTTATCATAGTAGTAGTGATCATAACACAAGCTGATTTTATGACTGATTTCTGCATCATTTATAGTTATTCATCAATATCACTATCTATGCTGTAGATAGCTTCATCACACAAGTATTGACGTATTTCATTATCCTGAAAAATTCATTTTAAGAAGTGATACAATTGTTTAAATTGTGTTTCTATTAAAAGAAAACATTACTTACCTATTTTAAGCAGATATAGAATCCAAGATATGTGTTTTGTCCTATTCAGGACTAGTCAGCTGGGTGTATCTGGGTCCCAAAGATGAATACCGCAGTGAATATCAACTTTTGCATGCAGATATGTCCAAAGGATGAGTCCCAAATAGGACGAGACATAAATCCTGAATTACACTGCTAGCCACCACTTAACTGTTCTTAAAATACACGTGACTTAGTGGGAATATCTAGCCAGTCCTCATGAGATGCACACATGCCAAAAATAACTGATCACTTGCAGTCCTAAACATCAACGGGAAGATGCAAATAACCAATGTATATGAATTATTTACCCACATTTAGTAACTGCAATGTCAAGCCTTTTATCACGAAAATTCAATCTTCTAATCAAGCATGCATACATTTACCAAACTATAAACCATACACATTTTGAAGGATTTATACATATCACTACCTCGATAAACAAGTTAGTTCTTGTTTTGTTTGAACTAGGTAGCTATTAGTTGTAAAAGAAGTGTTTACGCAATCAACCCATATCATGATAGTTGAGTAAACAGTACTCTTGAAAACTTTATGTCAGGTTATCAATGGTCATAAGGATGTTCTTAAATTCAAATGATCAAACGTTTCTATATAGCATTTAGTACGATCAAAGTACATAAATTTGAAAATCTCGCACCATTTTCTTTGCTCCTTCATATCCATGTCGTCCGATAATATCTTTATACCCAGTGTTGTCTCTTCTGATTTCGACGTCCAGGTTTCCCATCAGGATTGTCAGGTCTTTTCTTGAATATTTCACTACGATTGACTTCAGCCTCTCATAAAACTGATCTTTATCTGTAGTCTGCTATGACTGACGTGTAAATAGTACTAGATGACATTCCTTGTAATTACTTCCTTCTTTGCTTTGAACGATGTTTGGATGATCCTATGTTCATCAGATTCTCATCCTATAAGTGCTTTCCGTGATTTTTTGGACAGCATCAGTGCAACTCCTCGTATGTATGATGCATTTTCGTCCTTTATGACCAAAATACAATAGCATCTCTCTTGTAGCTTATCTTTTCTGTCCACCTTGGATTTCACGTATTCCGAGAACCGCAAAGTTGTATATCCTCATTTCCGCAGATTTTTGACTGGCCCTCCAGGTCTGCCACATTGTTCGAACACTATATCTTCCCGCATTAATTGTTGCTCCGGTTGTCAGAACATTCACTGACGTCGTGATTCTCGATGAATCTCGCCTTTCACCGTAAGACGTTGTAAATTTCCCGAATGAAGACCCTTCAACTTCTCTATGTAGTTTAACGAACTTATTAGATAAAGTAATATTTTGTATTTTTGTATTCAATTACCTTGAGCTAATTTATGTTTTTAAAAATGTTTTTTTATTTAGGAAAGAAAATACATTATTTTTTGAACTGATATGTCCGATAATAAGACCAGCTTTACTTATTGAATCCAATAAAAATTATAATCAACTTGATTTTGGTGCGATCTGCGCTGGTCAGCGTAATATTCGTATTTTGACAATTAAAAATATCAGTTCGTATTCCCTAAAGGTAAAACGAAGATTTTTCATGCTCCTAAGTATTGGTTATCTTTTCTAGGCTCAGTTTATTTGATAATAAGAGCACTTACTAAACGAAAAACTGAGACTATTTTCTCATAGATTTTTAGTCCAACCTTTTATTTAATAACTCATAAAGATCATCTCAATTCAACATATTTATGAATCACTATTGTTTTAGAAGTATAAATGTAATCATTACTTTGATTGAGAATAAAATTTTAGATTTACATTTATGAAATCCATGAAGTCTCTGACAAGTGGACTGAGTCATGTTGGTAGGTGTAGACTACCTGGTTGGGGACCGGGAGATGATATTGACCAATGGTTAGAGACCTTGAATGACATGGCTGAAAATCGTTTGCAATGGCGCAGGTGCATCCACTCCCTGTGTTATCTCAAACTCTAATCTTCTGAATTCTTCATATCCTTTATTTTCTTTCCGAATCTATTCCATTGGACTATACTCCTTAAATAACATCATCAAACCCTAATGTTCCCTATCACTACTTATACTTTCACTACCTCTACCACTACGGGATTTGAATCGATAACTGAATCTCTGTGTTAATGCGGTGTGGCAACTCGAACTGATGTACGTACGTACGAAGTTCCACGTTGTTACTGACTGACTGACTGATTTACATTTATGAAATGGAAAGCTCCACGACCAAACCATCCAGTTCAGAGAACAAAACTCCATCAAAAATGGCATATAGTATACTTAAAAATTTAAATTACACATCCAGATGTTCTCAGTCATCTAATTATATTGATATTCTTGAAATATGTTTCCTCATTCGTCTAGCCGGTTGAATAGGTACAATCAATAGTTAGTTATAGAAAGATCATTCAATGGTACATCGCATGAAGTCTACAGACTTCTTGATATAACATCTTTAATTGTATATATAACTAGGTAATGGAGATTAAAACATACAAAACCGATGGGTTATATCTAAAATATTCAGAAACACACACTAGAAGTCGATCAAACAGGGTTCACTAGGCTTAATAAATGAAATTAAGTACAGGGAATAATTAATTATATTTTTACAAACAGTTTAAATAACATTCACTATATGTCGTTAAGTATTATATTTAACCAATTATGGTACATAGATGTAAATATCAACGTAGTGCAATTAATGTGTCAATAATAACATTTGATAGTCTAAAGAAACTGTTTTTTTTTCTCTTACTTTTTAAATATTAGCTCAAACCAAAACCGTTAAATCCAGTAGGAGCCTTCGAAATAATCCAATTTAAAGAGTCTATTAAATCAGGTGAAATATGCAGTTTAAGTTTTGCTTTCACACCGAATCCACAACAAACTTATTGTACAGAAATATTTACATTAGATGCCTACCCAATAGACAATAAAATCATGAAGATAAATGTTAATGAATTTTGTCCTATACATGTGAAATTTTCTGGTATTTGCGTGACACCAACGTACGTTTGATATTTGACAATTTTCAACTAATTTCGTAACTCAGTTTTTTTAATAGCCCATCGGTATAATTTAATCAATTTTTTCTAAATAATAACGTGACCATTATGAGATGAAGATATTCGTAAGCTATTAGTATTTCACCACAGATGGCTTGGAAATATTGCTCGCATCTGCTGAGATCACCGGGTAAGTACTAGTGAGATCAGACGCAGAGTATTAGGGAATGATGGTAAATCAGTTGATGAGGTTATGAATCTTCATCGACTGAGATGGTTGGGCCACGTAGTGCGTATGCCTGAACACCGATTACCACGGCGCGCAATGCTAACCGGTGTTAGGGATGATCGGAAGAAATTTAGGGGCGGTCAAATCAAAATTTTAAATACTCAATAAACCAAACAATTATGAGTAATAAATTATATTGCTCTATATAACCAAACTGTGGATAAAAAATGTCACTCTATATAAAACCTGCTCTAGAACTGATCTCTAGTAATCATTACATTATTAATTATTCGATAAAAGCCAATAGCTTAATATGAAAACCCAAGTTATACTGGGTATAACACCTCAATACTTTAATGTCTATTCTGTATTCTATGGATTAAATAAAAAGACTGTATGTTTAAAAGGCCAATAAACTAAGTCGTCTGACTACAAAGTTTTATGTCAATAATATTCAAGATGAATTTAAATAGTTCTGAAGTTTCAGGATATCTTATAGTTTAACATATTTTTATGAAGCTATCAAAACAATCATGTTATGGGTTTTATGTCAAATTGAAAATGTTACAAATAACCTTATCTGGTGTTTACATTTACAGTTGTGTGAAGTAGTTTCCGGTAAATGTATTAATTTTTTAAAATTATATTGTCATCTTACTGATCATGTCATCTTATAAACGTCAATTTATAAAATTATTGATTGACGTCTTTCCTTTCAGAGTAGAACTTATTGGTCCACCTGAACTAGCAAGTATACCTTATTCGTTACAAAAGACAGAACAACAAAGTCTGACAAGTAATCTAAAGCAGACAACTCATTATCTTAATTTCGGTTATATTTTACTTGGTGGATTCATTGAACGACAAATAACTCTTTCTAACCCTACAAATATAACATTAAGTTTTCAAATACAGATTGATGAAAATCAAACAGGTGGGTCACGAAATCTAAATGGCTTACCCGTATTCATGGTTTTACCAAATCAAGGGAAAATCAAGCCGGGTACGTTTTTATTGTATGTTGTGTTTAGAATTATCGTTATTTCTTTTACTGACAAAAGAAAGTGCACTACTCCCTTAAGATGTGAGTGCTAAAGTTGTGACCAATAAAAAGATTAATAAGGCTCCAACCCAGGAACTCCAGGTCCCACACCAGACACTTAATCAGTAGAACTGCTGGGTCGTCGTCAAAAAGATGCAGTTTCAACTTCGATCAATTTGTAAATATAGCGTAACGATCGTCCAATCATATTGGTGAGAACTGTTTCACTTTCGGCGTTTAAAATCCACCAGTAATGACTTCTTACCGTAACTTTAGGAAAATCTTAAAAGCTGATTATTATAGTTTAGTTTAAAAGTTTAATTAAAGAGTGGTTTAATCTATAGGTTTTATTTGTCGTAGATAGAGTTCACACAAGTCGGGAGTGAAACAGACCTCAGCAGATACACTGAAGGATCAACATCATATATTACAAACTGACTGAAGTTGAAATTGTACCTTTTAATGCTATTCAGTGCTTCCGGGTTTCCGTCGATCCCTTAACTGATATCATTCAGTGACGAATGCAACCTACATATTAGACCGATTTCCACAAAACTGCTTCAATTAAATCAAATATTCATTATTTCAGTATCCTTTACAAGCATATAATCCAAGCTAACCAATCAATCATGAATTTTACTTAATAACTCCACTAACGTCATCGGGAAATTCCCTTAAGTTAATGAGATTGATGTACTCATATGATGTCTACCTATGACATCCAATTTATTAATGCAATACCATAGTGAATGTTAGAAAACTGATCAAAGTGAGTTATTTTATAGAGCAATACAACATATTTGTATATTTTATATCCTTAACAAAACAAACATTATCAGAATTCGTTTAAAGCATAAGTTGTGAAATTTTAATTATATAGATCATTCATCGACGTATAAGATTAGGCTTCGATTATCAGGCTCACTCATATCCTAACATATCAACTCATTAGAAAATTAGGAGATTTAAGACATGTCTGAATGGTCACCATTTAAAACAATACCTAGCCTGTCGTATGCCCTGATGGTGTTCTCGTGACTTTTGGGTTGTATAATCTGCCAAGTGTGATTGAACAGTGCATGACGGTATTGTTGTGTTTTAGGTTCAAAGAGAATTGTATACTATATGCATACAAATCCGCCCCATTATTGTTTCTATTATATAATTCCTAGAAAAACTAAGTTTATTTGGTATAAGTTCGAACTGCCTACATGTTTATATTATTCTTCAGTATTAAAATGAAAATTTTTTCTTCATGTTTGAAACCGTCTTACTACGTATTCGAAAATGATTTAAAAGGAGATATAACTTTAGTCTTCGGAAACACTTTTTATATCTTAGAAATAAACATTAAACATATTGTTATAGAGATTATTTTGAATTTGAAAAGATCGATATACATGAGATGTTTCCCTTTTAATAAGTTGAATACCGAAATGGCTTATGACATCTATAAATTCTTGTTTGTTTGTTTGTTTGTTTGTTTGTTTGTTATGATTTTGTCATAACATGACATTGATGTCTTATAGTAAATTTTCTTATTTTTCTTTCCCTCCCTTTTTCACTCACTATTTTTGTTTGTCTCTTCAAGTTATATCCCACAAATACATCACTTTATACATGTATACTTGCATACAGCAATATATATATATATATATATATATATATATATATATATATATATATATTGATAGATAGATAGATAGATAGATAGATAATGTGAATGAATGAATGAATGAATGAATGAATAACTAAACAGGATAATTTTCAAATATGGAAATCAAAATTCAGCTTCTGTTTAAAAAAAGTTATGTTGCCTGATGATTCTTTTCATGAAACTCTCAAAAATTCTTCTTCATATCATTTTATAAACAGAATTTGGAATTTCGCAAAGTAATAATGATTAGAAGTGACAGTCACAACAATAATGGTGATATCACAAATGATGTAATCGAAAGAGTAATTCAAATGAGAATGCATTTCTTAAATTATTTCATTATATATATTTGCATATCGGATGCATTTGTGAAAGTCTTCACTTAAAAGTAAAATGCTGAAGTAGAAATATAATAAGATTACTTAAATCTGTGTATTTAAACAATGTAATATGGAAAAATGTTTTGAGGTACCACAAAACAGGACGAGTAATGACATTAGACAATGTAAAAGCAAATTACCTATATAATGAATCATCGGAAAATCAATTTCTTCTTAAAGTAAATTAAATGATTTTAAAGCAATTAGTCCCTTTGATAAACTTTGATAGTGTGATAAGAAGACGAAGATAGTTCTGGTAATCTTCGTCTTCTTATCGCACTATCGAAATTAAAAGATTTTACTAGCATGGAGATCAGATATATGCTACATTCCTTTGAAATCCTTAATCTACAAGCAGTTATCGGCGTTCCGGTTTGTCACAGAGTCTAGAACAGCGTACTACCTGAGACAAATGTTCATTAGTGCAACTAGTCACATTATACAACAGTGAAGCGAAAAGAAAGTAAAAGATACAAAATTACTTGACATGGTCTGTCTAATAAGTAGGCCAGCCGAGTTACCAAGGTTATTGATTATGAAATGGTAACTTACCTTTAAAACTGATGGAAATATAAAAGTTTTGGAGCCTTCTATGTGCTCTGAATGTCAGCTCACTTTGGATTAACTGAATTCGGCAAAGTTTTTCATGAACATGATTCCAGCTAAACATTTTGAGTTGTAAAAATCGAGTTTAAACTCCTCTCAAAGTAGATGAAACTCAGTCGAAATCTAGGAAGGACAAAATGCTTCTACAATTAGAAAACTTCTGTTCAAATTTTTAACCTTCATAGAAGAATCTTCACTTGGGACTGTGATATAGCCAAGAAACTCGATTTCTGAGGATAATCACGGATATATTAAATAACTCATAAATAAATGAGATTATTATACATTGATAAATATAAATTACTCTGTTAAACATGAAACTGATATATCTTACATTTTGCAAAATAAGGTCTTTATGACTTCAGTTTAATTATATAATAGAGAGATTATTAGTATAAATTCTTATCTACCACAGAACAGAAACAATTGCCATGTTTTCTAATCCATGACGATGATAAATATCGAGAACAGCTACACTGTTTGGTTTTAAATGTTTTGATTATTTCTCAGGAATATCGAGTGAAATTGCGCCTTCTAATGTGTGGATAAATTTTTGCATATTTTCTAATCTTAATTTATTGAGCATAATAAAATGCCACGTAGTAACTGTGTATTAACAATATACTACAGGAAAAAGTTTCACAAACATATGACTCATTAGTCTGAGTTGATTCTTTTAGCTTCAATTATATTTATCTATTTATTTAGCTATTAGGACGTTTTTATTCAAATTGTTTTGTGTCCTAAGCATTTGATGTTACCAAAAAATATTTCCCATCTATTCGCATAAAACTGGATAAACTTATAATCGATCTCGTTTATCATCATATCTTTTGATCGAGTTCAGAATAAATATTTTGAAATATGCTCGTGCACTAAAACTAATGTTTAACTTCACTTGGCATTGTTTACTTGAATCTTCTCATTGATGTTTAGCACTGCAATTGATCAGTCTCTTATTTACATATGTGCATACTGTGTGTATTGCCTCGATATTGCCTCACTTCACAAGCATTATAAGTAAAGATGGATAGTGGCTAGCAGTGGATAGCTAAGTAGTTAACGCGATGGCATTTGAAGCGAACGGTACTGGGTTCGAGTCTCAGAGTGAACATCAACACTGTGATCAAGGTATATCCATCTGATGAGTCTCAAATAAGATGAAACGCTATGTAGATTTATTGAAACATTTTCATTTATGGCTTAGTTTATTTTAAATGTCTTAGTTATATGTTAAATCGACACTTCTATAAAACTACTGAGTAATACACACACTTATCAAGTTTAATATCATTTATGTTTTATGATAGACCATTTACATTTCTTTTAGATTGAAGTATTATATTATAGACGGATTTTCAACTATTTATGATAAAACAGTAATTGATTTACCTTCATAACACTTGATTGTATTTCTTGTTTAGAATTTCATTGATTCAGTTGATGTTCGAATGTTTGCATTACGGTAATATTTAAAGGAGGATTTCTACACACTTCTTTTTTTTATTGTTTATTTTTGCTCAATTATATAGTATCATCTTTAATGACTATCAATATAATTCGCTTTCACTGGTTGTTTTTCAGCTTATGTTTTCGACATGTTAGCCATCAAACAATGTTAGTAAATAAGGTGAAAATTATAATGCTGGTTTTGATTTACTTAAGTGTTGTCAGGAAAGTGTATTATCTAAAACATGAAAAGATGCACGTTAAAATAGAAAAATACTTCTCCTTTTTTCGTACTGTTTGTTTTGATTAAAGGATAATTGAGCAAAGTAGCTGGTTATGGTTTAATAACCGTTTAACGTCGATGATTATGTAGACGATGATGTTGTTGATGGTAATGAAAGCTTATAAAACATGGCTGTGTCAAGATAAATATGAAGTAAAAGAAAACTTTTGGAACTGTTGCATCTAAAGTCACTGTTTATATTTTGGTTGTATAATTATTAAATACTTAAACTATTATTATACTTTTACATTTCCCTACTTGTAAGCTTTTGAAAAAATTATTATTGTATGTTTTATCGCTCCCAATTTATAACAGACTTTTCACTCAGTCCTCTTCCACTTCTAGTGTGGCTGTACCCATATTGTAAATTCTTAATTCTGTTCATTTGTGGTCAGGATTTCAATCTAACTTTTGTGTGATCTATTGATTAATTCGAACTGTATAATTAAAGGCTATCTGCTCAATGAATCAATCTGTACTCTATTGAACGAGAAAGCCTGAGAAATTATGTTTTGAACTAATCGTAACTTAAAGATACTCTTGGCTGTTCTCTTACATTTGTCATGTAATTGGTTGGCCAAAGACAATTGCTATTAAATAAACAATCGAGGCGAGCTAATCAATACGATTGATTTACAGTTCAATTTCATGGGTCCCAAATAAACTCAACAAAAAAAATCTATTTATTCTCACCGACACATCAAACATAAACCCTATCAACAGTACCATTCTCATGAACATAAAAAACGCAACACTTTAGCAAATATTTTAAATGGTTTCCATCCTTTCGTGATATATTCATTCCACCCAAGTATCAACAAGCAAAAAAACACTATTTTTTCTAGACTCACTATTCGAAAAGTAAGATATAATTTATTTATTTATTGTAGAACAAAAAAATATATTTCCTGAAGCGTGCATCCATTAACAGCACGCGGGACTCGAACCCAGGAACTTCGGTCTTGCATGCGCACTGTCGAGGAGCTTTATACTAAAACGAAACGACCGTCCAGTGCTTCCAGGTCTTCAATAGTGGTTTAGCTTAGATCGGCTCATGAATTCAACTGCAAAATTAATACAAACTCCACAAATCCCCATGCTGATAGTTTCTGAAGTCTTCAAAAACAGATTTATCTAGCACAAAACGTTGCAGAATTTTTATAATCATTCTACGGTATTTTTTCGGAATCGATGAAGGCATCTCTGAATAACTTGTTTTGCACTACTATTTTATCATTTAATGACGAATGTTACTTATTGGCTCTAAAAAGCTATTCGCAATAATCAATCATGATCTGGAGAACGACAACTTATTTATCATGACTGAATACATTTTGGTATTAGGTACCTAAAGTGACTAACCACAAGACATATCACTTTCAAGCTACTCAATGTCAAATAATCAATTCTGCTTTTTTTATATTTTAAAATATAGGTGATAAACAAGTCGTTTCTATCACATTTTCACCTGACCATGATAGTGAAGCATACCAGCAAACTTATTTGATAACACTTCATTCACAAGTAAACCTTTTTGTTGATTAATTTATATCTCCACAATGGTAATCTCCGTGTTTACATTATTATACTTTTCTCAGTGCATTTTTAAGTTCACAGAAATAATAAAGAAAAGCTGTTTAATCGTAACACTTTATTTCTATTATCGTCATTGGTATGATAATAGCTATTGCGAATACTACTTAACGTATCTTAATACATATTTTATTTTCTGATACATTTCTTAATGTTAGATGAATAACACTAACCGACTAGAGAGCTCCAGGATTCACTTTTATTCTTGCTGTTGAAACTCGTCATGAAAGTTTATCTACATCCATCCAGCAACCCGTAATCTCAGAGTGACAACTACAAGGGCTTGATTGTCTAGAGCAGACACAATACCACTGTATTTTCCTAGCAGTAACTGATCCCTTACAAGATTAGGTCAAATAAATAAATTCATCACTTAACAGAAACCAGTGTCATGCTATTTGTCCCGTGGCAATGACTGAATATTTTTCATTAGATCTCTGGACTAGCTACTTAATGTATTAAACTAATTATTATTTAAATTCTAAAGAAATTTTTTTGAATTATGTCAGCATACGAGAATGAATAGTACGATTTGATTTATATATTTATCGATAAGGTTTTTCTTAAAGTAATGTAAGTTGCGCTTTTATTCCATTTAACACTTCATGTGAAAAAATAAAGGACACTTTTTTTAGTAGCATCCACAAAATCTGCGATATAAGCTAATCACGCTTTAACTGAAAACTTAAAAGTGGTATCATTTGAACCACAGAATATAATTACAGTGATTTTCTAAAAAAATGTTGAATATTTCCTCTAAGGTTAATTCTAGAATTTCATTTATTGATAAATCACAAATGAGCACATTCTTCAGTATTCCTTGTTTAATTTAGTTTAATCTAGATTTAATTTAGTTAATCTAGTGGCTTTCTATATTTTCAACCATACTGCTATTTCAATAGTTAAGATCATAAGTCAGTTGAAGCTAGACCACCATGGAAAACCTGGAAGCACTGGATTGCTATTATTAAAATTCTTGGTGTCTTATAGTAACTCACGTTCAATTGAGTTTGCTCTCACCTAATTCGGTTAAGCCCTTTTATTAACTTATTAAACGGACAAAGTCACCTGCATTATAATAACTTACTGTATCCTTATTACTGTTGCGAATGTATGAACATGTATGCTCGGCAAGCCTTACTGCCTACGCATTTATTCACGCTACTAGCTTTACTATTAACCGCTTAATTGACTCGGTGATTCATTCATTTCACTATGTATATATATGTCCATGTTATTTATATTCATCACTCACTCGCTCGCTCGTTCAATTATGTGTGAAGTACATATGACAGGGTTATAAATTGCGAAACATCCTCGTTTTTACTGTCAATGAAATGACCAATCATAAAGAAAAATTAATATCTTTTCATTCCTCTGGAAAGATGGCATTATTCATTCCTATTAAACTTCAAATAGAAATAAAAAAGTTCATAAATTATGTAGAAATTCTAAAAACTTTACATTTTTACATCTATTATGGTTTATATTCACTTGGTGTTGTTTTACTTCCCATTGTTATTTATGACTGCAGTTGACCAGTTTCATGTTGGCATATGTACATCCTGTGCGGATTGCCTCAATATTGCTTTAAGTCACAAGCTTTTTAAACAAAGATGGATAGTGGCTAGCAGCAGAATCCAGGACCGCGTTTCGTCCTATTTGGGACTCCTCAGATGGATTTACCTGCATCGCAGATTCGTTGTTCACTCCGGGACTCGGATAACATGATGGCGTTTGAAGTGATTGGTACTGTGTTCGAATCCCTGAGTGAACATCAACTCTGAGATGCAGGTACATCCAGCTGACGAGCCCCTAATAGGGCGAAACGAGAGTCCTGGATTATTGTGGTTTGTTCTTGTTTTTACAGCTTGAAGTTTGTTAAAGTCTGTTTGTGCTGAAATGACTTATAAGTGATATTTAATAGAATCAGCTTGTAGGCAAACATATAAGTAGTATGTGTTTCATTTTTCAAAGGTCTATTAACCTGATCATCAACTATCTTTTTGAACAATTAATTTAAACTTTCATTTATAGAACTTGACAGAAATATTTTGAAAAGTATGTTCTTCGTTCATGTCTGCATTTTGTTTGTACAAAAGAACAGCAAAATAAACTAATTTTATTAGTACTAAAAATTCAAAATACTTTTATTCTCTACTATTAGATATATAATTCACATAAATTAATTCTTACTGGAGCATGTAAACAACATAACTTGTATATCCGTGGTGGTGACCGACTGGACAATACTAATGATATACTTTTTACAAATGTACAAAATGATTTTCTTGGTGTACAATTTTTAACTGAAACAAAAGAATCCAGTAAGTTGTCATGAATGATGATCATTAAATTTCTTGTCGATAAAATCTAATTACTTCTTTTCAATACCTGTACACCGTAGGATAGCACCCGGACTCTATATATAAGCCTTCACCCTTCGGGTTTAGATCACAAGACAATGGAGCGGCTCCATATGATACACTTTCACGGTAAAAGGTGGCCGAAATAAATATGTGGCCCATTAGTCTTCTGAGAACCTTGAAGCCCATGTGTACAATTAATTTGTTATCAGAGTTTACCGACTCACCTGAGTGAACCATGAGTATTTATCTTACCTTTTTAAGAGTCAAATATTCTCTTGGCTTCGTAAAAATCACTAAAAATCACTCCACTACATGAATTTAGTTAGTAGAATTTCCCCGTCATAGGTTGAAAATTCATGAATGTATGAGAACGTTTCAAGAAAGAAGGTAAACACTCTACGCTCACCCTCATACTGAGCCATTTAGTTAACGAATTTTATTTCAAAAACACGCTATGGTTAAATAAAAATAGAAATTATGCAAACCATTTAAGTTAATTGCACAGATTCAAAGTCTTTTTAAGAAAAACTTATACACTGTTCCCTAATGCAGCATTACGTTTTGTGAACTTCATGAATAAATTGTGTCTAGCAATCTGTAACAAATCTGTTTAAGATTAATAAATGTTTTAAAACATCGCTTGCAGAATGCAGCTCATCAAATAATTTATTGTTCTGTAATAAATAATTTAGTCTTTACTACCAAGAATGTTACTTGTATTTAGCTGAGTAGATGATAATAAAATACAATGAAATCATAACATTCTGCAAATCTTATCGTTTTTGTTTTGGGCATAAATGACTAAGACAACTAGTACATGTACATTTTACCATTCATCAAAATTATGAAGCATTTCGAAAAATTAGATAGCTTTCATTTTACCCTATACTGTCTGTTCAGCTCAACTTTTAATAACCAGAATAGTCTTCAGATGTTTTCATATCCATAATTTAGAAACAACATCCTATCTAATAATAACTGGCCAACAATCCTCTTTAGTAAGAGAGGATTCGAATACAAATAGTGAAATGGAACCAGTTGAAAAGGAGGATACAGATAACCTACCAACTAAAAAAGAAGTGAAACATAAAGAAACTCCTGCTAAAAGAATTTTATACGCTGGTTATGTTCACTCCTCAAGTAGTGGTACAAAAAAGGTTCGTATATTGATTATTTATTTGTTGTATCCTGCAAATTATATTTTATTAGCCTATTTAACAGTTTGTATTGTGTTATGAAAAAGGACTTTTCAGATAACAGTCAAAATGGGTGTAAATTCATGAACATACTACAAAAGCATTTTAATGTAACAAAATCATTTTTTTAACTAAAATGGTTTAAGGTATGTGGAAAGTTTCTGTTCCAAATAAATAGTCTAACTCTGCAAAATATGTCGAATAGCTTTGTTCAAAAACTATTTGACTGCTAATGGATATTGTCTCTAAATTTTTCAGATATATCCATCTATATTACTGATATGATGAGAAATTCGTTTATATAATTAAATATATTTGAACTAATAATGATAGTACTTTTAGTCAAATATCAATAACTTAATTATAAATAGAAAGTTAAACAATCATTCATGTAAAAGACCCACTTTATAACGAGACTTTTTATGACTTAACGTACAGCAGAGCAATATGATGTTGGCATATTAATTCATCAAAATGATAAACCGATAACTTTAGTTATCAATAAAGACAAGTCTTAGGTAACGTTTGAACTTTAATATTCAGTGTCGATAAACGCTTAGTCACCAGAATTCTTGTAATTCTCAAACATCACTTTCTCAAGAAAAGAAGACGTGCTTTTTGTTATCATATGCGATGCCCAAAATTTGATACTGATACACGGTGTGCTATGTGATAACCTCCCCCCCAACTGACTACTTTAGTGGGTACACAAGAGTGAGCGAGAATATGTATTCGGTTACCGAATGAATTGCACAAATACTCATTCATATATATATATATATATATATATATATATATATATATATATATATATATACCACTCCTTCCTCAAAAATCGACCCACTGACTCAATTGACTGCACTTGATCTTTAGGTGACTTTTGATTATCATCGACTGACCCTTTTTCTACTTCTGGTTGGCTCTGCATATTACTTTTAATGCCAGACCATATTTTACCAAAAAATGTGTTGTTATTTATTTAAATACAAATCAGATTTTGTTATTTGATTCCTATTATGTCTGTTGGGGACGATAGATCCCCCAAAAACTCACATTTGTAATTTTATCTTATGGAGCTTGTATGCAGATGTATACGTGAGCATTTCTTACCACCCACGCGCATAGTCGATTGACGAATTTATCAAATAAATGTTTAAATATTTCAATGGCAGTCAATTGACGAACTATCGATTAAGTGTTTAAAAGCTCCATGGAAATATCGATACATATATATTTGTATATATACGTTTTAAAAGTGTCTTGTAAAGAATTCGCTGGTTTCTGGTTGTTGCAGAATATACTTCCATTCTAAGCTTGGTCTTCTCTCTCTAGATAGCGGGGCTGGGACGCGTCAATAGTTAGCTTACTGATCTTGGTCATCGGATCTCGTTCTCGTTCGCAATTTAAGTGAACTCGTTAAGCTTTCAACCTAACGCTGTACCATAACTTTATTATTACCTAGATACTTGAAATTACTCAAGAAACGTTCTGTTAGTGTTGTGCATTTTGAGCTAATAAAAGCAAAGCTTTTATTGTAACTCAGGACAACATTATCACATACTTCATCATAATTACTAATGATTTTTTACAAAACCTCATAAAAGTACTATTCGTTGGATATTGAAATGTACTAGAGATTTTCTATAAATTGAAATGGACTAAACTGTGATATTTCTAGTAACTTTTTATATAAAATTTACTGTAACCATTATAAAACTATAACGTATCAATACAATCTAATTTCCTTAACATTAGTGTTCAAAGAACTAATCCCTAATTATACAACGTTAAAAAGATAATCACTAGACTGAAATTGACTCTTATTAAGAAGACGAAAATTATCAGAACTATGTGATATATTAGCGCAATACATTTCGAACAATCTGATCACACATAATGTACTTGTTAAAAAATTTACGTATAAAAAATAAAAGGTCAACTAGACTGGAAACGGGGTAAGAGGAAGCAAGGATAATAATAAAAGTAATAATAATAATGTGGACACAATTCGAAACCTAATCACTTTCGATAATAAGTAAATATTACTAGGATACGTTTAAGGTGAGAACAAACTTTTTGAATGCACAAAGGGGGATTGAATTTTCTTATGTCTAAGGCTTCAATAAACCTTAGTATACGCCCTTTTACACTTTTATGTAACACCACAAAAGCCGAGTTAAATCAATCTTATGGCCTAAATTCACTTGGTGTTGTTTTACTTATATCTTCCCATTGTTACTTAGGACTGCAATTGATCAGTCTCATGTTGGCATATGTGCATCATGTGCGGATTGCCTCAATATTGCCTTAAGTCACAAGCTTTGTATTGCGCTAATATATCACATAGTTCTGTTAATCTTCGTCTTCTAATTACATTATCGGAATTTATCAAAAGGACTACTTGCTTTATAATTCTTATTAATTTCTTTTTTTTCTAATATTACTAACATTTTGTTGATTCTGTGCTAACATAATACTCATTAAATCTAAATTTTGTTTAAACTAACAGAGTGGTGAATGTACAATAGAAAATTTAAATGAATTATCCTCTCTTGGATTTACTGTTAGTCCAACAAAGGTAAGTATTTTAGTACTTTAACAGTAATAAAATTAATAATAATAATTAATTAATTAACACTCTTGAATAATTTTTATATATTCTGATTAAAAACTAGTTTTATATCGAAATTATTTTTGATCATAAAGGTGAATTTAGTACTGATCATTTATTATTACTATTCTCTGAAGAAGTGGCTTACACTAAGTCACGAAACGTCATAAAATCTAATTTTCCTACTCATTAGGATATTCAAAACATATTAATTCATTTAAGTCAAGTATTTGTACTTGATTGATACTGTTCCAATAATCAACTTATTGATCTACTATGATAGATTTTTTAGTGATTATTTACAGTTTTTTTCTTTATAAGATCTAAAGATTCTATCAATGAAATTAAGAAGTTTCAGCATCTATTTCATAACTGTAGTTTCCCATATACATAATTTAATGAATAGTAAGTAATTATTTTATTACATGTTATATAATGCCATGTCTTCTAGTGAGAAGTATTGACCAATGGAGTTCAACTGGGTTTATTATGAGATAATAATTCATTGAAGACAATGATGGATGTGTCACTCAACTTCGTGGGTTGGTTGAAGTTAGATATTAACACAATTGAATGCCAGATCAGTGGTCTCGAGGTTGAGCGTTCGCACGCAAGACCGACAGGTCCTGGGTTCGAATCTCGCGAGGCCGGATCGTGGATGCTCACGGCTGAGGAGTCGCACATTAGGACAAAACGGTCGTCCAGTGCTTCCAGCTTTTTCATGGTGATCTAGCTTCAATTGACTCATGAACTCAAATATTGAAATCATAAGAATTTCTTAAAAAATTTTAATTAATCAATCACTTTAATTATATTTTTTTGTTTTCTAAAATATTTCTTATACAGCTGATTTTAGAACCAGGAACTGAACAACCGATTATATTTACTTGGACTCCTAATCCGGATGTGAGAGTACGTTTACAATAACTAAGACTGTTACGTATTATAACTGGTTTCAACATTGACTAAATCTATGTTTTCATATAATTTCTTTATCCGGATTATGTTTTGTTTAGAGTAAACTGTATCCGTTTCGTGATGAGATTTTCATAGCATTATAGTTGAATTAAATGCGAGGTTACAAATTTTCATCCTGTATATATCATACTGGATACAATTTAGTTCAACTAATGAATAGCTATCTTTATGAAGTTAAAACGTGTTGCTCTGTTTGCTTATAAAATCAAAAATTATCAACTGTCATTAGATAATAGATTATTCTTGATCAAATAATAGATTGAATCTTTAAGTTATGTTATTATGGAAATGTACTTTTTAATGACAGATTAATTCATTACATTTAGCCATAATTTTCTTTCTTTCACCGATTTTAACTTGTAAGCTAGAAATGCAAATCTAAAATACACTACTTGATAATTTTGATCATAGTATGCGAATGGAAATTATAAAGTACTTTGATCCCTGCTAATGCTTTGAAACAATGAAAATGCTCAGTAGATAAATAACTGAATATTATGATTCAATTTTTTTGAAATTTTAACTTCCCATTTGATTTAGTTCGTGAAATTTGTCTTTTTATTAATAATGACTATTCCAAAGTAGAATAGCCAACACAATAATGTTTTCCTAAACTAAACAACCTTAAAACAGTACAAATATGATAAATGAAAAGTGGAGTCCTCTGTTGATTTTAGATTCTTTGTAATACAATGGGAACCCATTTAAGAAAATCATTTGTTTGGCCGAAGTATTTCAAAGGTACTCACCACATACTATCAGCTTTCCTTGACAAATAGGTTAACAGGTAATCGTTAAAAATGGAAAGCAATGTGTATAAGTGTTTATATGGTCACCCATTCATGTTAAGATACAAATTAGTTCTTATATATGCCTGGAATATAAGTGAAACTATTTCCCTGAACTCCACTAAAAGTTATTACATCGTCCATATGAAATACACTAGTTCACATTAGTTACTCGTCTTGTAAATATCGAGTGAATATATCATTACATAAATACTTAGTTGAATACATAGTATAGATATCATCCACTCAGTAAAATGTACCCAATTCTTTACATTAACCAGCGTCATACCTCCAAAAAATATTTAGCACCCCTTTTTTCAAGTTCTCATTGTTTTAACATTTCTCTCCTATTTTCGGGTTGTTTAGACTGGATCGAATGTGAAGTCAACTGCTATAATCCAGCTCCGATCTGATGTGACTACAAATCATCAAGTCTTGTTGAGAGGTGTTTTGTGAAATCATCTACAATTACTCAACATTATCAACTACTTTAACTAATAAGTATGCTTTTCATACTCTTATAACTTTTTAAAAATCTTTTTATTTCAACTACAACATATTGAGATAGAGCAAGAATATGTTATTGATTGAATTTCGATTTCTTTTTATTTTCTTATAAAGTAATTTCATTAAATCCTCATCTTAAGATTTGCTTTAAATCAAAATTCCTAATCATAACCTAACGAAATTGTAGTTTTGTGGGTAATCGTACCCCTAATAATTCATAAAGTCAAAATAACCATTTCCAACCATCTACGAACGTTTTCTGATGGGACCAAAGCTTCAGATCCCCGTAACTTTTTGCATTGATTGATTTTAACAACGACACCACATAGTGTAGGTGATAAGAAGTTGGTATTGATGTAATTAATCCCACGGTAGGAAATTTTAAATAGTGTCTTTTATTATGAGAACCCTTAAAAATCTTTAAAAGTTCAATATCAAAAGTAACAGGAAGCTTTCTGCTATTGAAAATTCAGTCACTAGAGATACATGACATGAAAAAACTTTCAAATGAAAATATGTCTGTCAACTAAAGTAATTAAATAACAGAATATAAGAAGTGTCAGCTCTAATATTATGAATACTAAAGAATTATCTATATTTTTTCAAACATAAATCATTTATTTCAATTTGATACAAGCTGTATTACGAAATGATAGTTGTAGAGAACATAGGACAACTGTTTCATCGTAGTTTTAGGCTCCTTGACACTGTACACCCACCATGTACAATGAATTGATTTTACAACACCTATGTCTCGTTGCACTTGAATAGCAATCAGGATCTGTTTTACTGCACAGTAATATGTCCCAAATTTATCAACTTGAAGTTCAAAAAAATTAGTACTTATGTGAGTACTGATTTTGAACAATTTCTTTTTCTAAATCTATAATAATCAACTTAAAAATGTAAAATAGTATAACGATCTTTGAGAAAATCTCATTAAAAATCGTTGTAGAATACTGTCATGATAATTAATATAAGAAATCCATATGGATTATAACAAATAAAATGAGAGTTAAGAATAATGCAAGGTATATCTTTGAGATATTTATTCACTAGTTGTAACATATATTTTATAATTATGAATCTATAACTATGTAGCCTGATAACGAAGTTATTAAGTTTTTGAATGTACGATAAACATTAAATTTAAATTTGATGGGATTTGTTTTATTGTATTTCGAAAAATAATGTAATAAGATTATATCACCTGAAATGATTTTTGTTTATCATAGAATCAGCATTATAAATAAACGTTACTTACTCTGAAACGTTTCAATTATTGTTCGTTTATTCAAGTATTTTTTTATACTTTTACCGTAGAAATTCAATTTCATTCAATCAAATGTAAATAAAGTTATTGCGTTTTTTTGGGGGGGGTTTGTCTTTTTGGTTCGTTAACAACATAAGTTCCAATGTAATGTTTAAATTATACAATTTTATTATATAAATAAAATTATGGTATTCTGCGATCATTTTCATGATACCATTCAGAAGAAGTTTGAATACGTTTTTCTAAATCATGTTCTGTTGAATTAAAATATAGTCCATTTGTAATTTCAGATACTACATTATCAACTTCATTTAATTTTGTTATTTTTTCATTGCATTGCTCAGTAGTATTTTGACAACAATGATTAAGATTATTATCATTTGTAGATATGTGTTCTTTTTCACTAGCTAAAATCAATTTTTTCTTGAGATTTAATATATAACATATGAGACCTAAGAGAATAGCCCTTATTGATACTAAAATTGCCATACTAATAAAAAATCCACCGTATCCAAATCCATCAATAATTGCACCAGAGAATAATGGGGCTAACAGCATACCAATACCGGCAATCATTTTTGTCATAGGAAATGCAATCGATCCATGAACCATCATTATCTCTTCTGAAGTAGCATATAGAAATGTATTGCCTACACCAACAGTAGCACCAGTAAATCCAGCCAGTACATAAACCACATTTAAATCTTCATATGTATTTTGCATAATAACCAAAAATAGAGCTGCAAATAATGCTCCAATAAAATAGGCAAATGCTAAATAACCTCGTATACGATCACCGATTAAAGCTCCAAGTGTAAATACAACTGATTCTCCTATACCAAAGTATAAATTAACTCGGGCACCCAATACCAGTTGATCATTTAACGCCTGACTTACATAAGCTGTCATGTTCATTAGTAAACCATATATTACGAGATTATGAAGTAAGCGTTCAAATCCCCAGACGAATACTTGCGGATTATTTTTCAAATGTTCAACTGAGCAAAAAGCCCATCCACGTCCATCACTGGCTTTCGGAGAATTACGTAGCAATAAAGAATCCTTTCGTAAGGCTTCGTTTATGGTATTTCCTTCAAATGTATCAGAAATCTCCAACATAGCTTGGTTATATTCAAATATATCTCTCGAAATAAAAACAATTCCGGCTAAAGATGTCACGAGTAAGAAAAGTAATCCACTTAATTGAAATGCCACTTGCCAGCCGTAGCTTTGTATTAAGTTTGAATACAATGGACCAAATATTAGTACACCATAAGGTCCACCGGAAACAAATGCAGTTGCTAAAACATGAAATCGATGAGATCTGTCAAAATACTCTTCTGTTACAAGACTTGTCCCACATAAAATTAGTGTAGACCCAAGGCCATGTATAAGTGTATGGGTCAGGAATAGATACCCTGGACTAGGCACCACTGCTGATGTCATACAACTTATAAAGATTAATAAACCGGCTAGAAGCATGGTACATCTATACGGTCGATTCCATCGAATTATTGCTGTTGTAGCGAAGGGCATTAAAAAGAATCCAACTGCAGCATAACTGTCACCAACCCAATTCAATTCCGTCATACTCGTGTCATTATAAGCTTTATGTAGAGCAGCAACGAATATTCCGAATGCCCTTCTTTTTCCCCCTATACAAACAACATTCAGTGCAGCCACCAACAAAACCAACCATCCTAAATGACGCCATCCATATAGTTTTATACGGGCTCGTGTAAACTTTACATAAATTGTGTGAAATATGCTTCGAGTTAATTGCGATGTTGCTTCTTCTTTTGTCATAGCAAATGTTATAAATTTTCACAATGTATTTTAGTTGTATTACTTTCTTTCTTGATCTTCGTTTTGTACTCCTGATATTTTTCCTTATAAACTATGTTTGTCATTCTAGTGGCACGTGTCTGTCTTGTTTATTCCACCCCTCTACCTTGTTATTATTCTGTCTAACCCTACTAGTGATTCCAACCAAAATGTTCTGCCGAATTTGGTCACTTATTATATGCTTGACAAATAAAGTTTAGGATAGAAGAAAACAAAAATTTTTCTATAGTTTACATGACTCTGATATCAAATATATCTAACTGATCATACAGACAAATGCTCAGATTAATAAATTTACGATACGAAACAGTTCGATTATTTCAATTTTTAAAATCAAAATTTTAATGACAGGAAACATAAGATACTTAATGGAATAAGGTTAAATTAATGTATTGTCATTATGCTGATTAAGTGATTTCGCTCTGGCAGAACACGAAAAGTTGCTGTGAATAATTGAATGCCTTCGTCTCTGTTGGAACTGTTGATCAGTGTTACTGAACCATTTTGTTGATGCTGATAATATTGTGTTATTACTAGATATTTCTGCTTCGTTGTAAATTACTGAAAATTATACTTCGGCTAACTGTAGAACCTGTTTTGGGATGTTCTCATCAAGAAACAATAAGTCAGTCCGAGTTAAATTGGTTGACAAAAAGAATGAACCTAAAGATTTCCTTCCTGTTGCATAGAAAATCACTTCTGATACACTCTTATTTTGCGGTTCTGAAGTTAGTAATGTCAGTAAATGTAGCAGTAGTGGTTGTACTAGGTCTCGGTAAAATAACTCATATAGTGCAGAAAACCATACTAGAAATAGTGGTAAGTATAGTTAGAATAAAAACACTTGAGGATTAAATGTTCATCTAGAATTAAAATCATTAAAGTCCCTTCATAGCAAGGGCAAAGTAAGGCCAGCATTGTCTCCGATGGTTGTAGAGAGTGACTTCCCGAAAGCAGAAATTAGGTATTTTAATGCAGAACCGAGGTCCTATTAAATATTTGTGCGTTCAGTTTTAATATATGTGGTTTTGATGTCGAGTAATATCACTTGCATTATTATAAGTATAAAAACCAAGATGGCTATTGGAAGTCGACTACTGTTATAGTTATCTGCAATGTATGGTAGAAACTGCGAAATTTTTAAGCAGCACATAGGAAAAGCTCGTAAAATTACTGAAAACCCATTTCAAAAAGAAATGTAAATTACTGCAATCCAAAACAGTCGCATTTAAGCACTAAAATGGAAATGTGATTTGTGTACTGATTTATAGTGTACGGGCTGATACTATGTTAAGCCCATATAATTTCTTCTAGCCTCTAAACAGATCTATTTATTGTTCTCAAGCCTGTCGCTTATTCGCTAATTAATCCTGTTTTTAGATTATAGTATGTTAATGCATTTCTTATCTTACTGATCACATGTCTGTAATTTACTTTGTCCGACTATAAATAACGATTCATGCTTGGCTAAATTGAGTTGGCTCACTCAACTTCTCCAGTGCGCGTCATTCAACTTCGCTCCCTTCTCTTACCTTTCTTTGCTTCGTTTCTCCGATCGTTTGTCTGGATCAACGATTGTACGAAATATACGTGTATTGGGATATTCAAAAAATATCCCAAGAATTATCCTGTTAAGTCTAATGCTATCCTTGAACGTGAAATGGTGCCATTTTCCTATTGGTCAATATTTATTTCACGTGTCATTTTCCTATTGGTCAATATTCACGGTCCTCCTAACTGTATAAATATGCATTTGTTTGTAAATTATTATTATTATTCACCAGACCCCATAAACAGTTTTCATCTAACGGTTCGTGTTCTGATATATCGGAGATTGGGGAACAGTATTGGGGTCGTACAAGGATATCTGCAGTCGGTCAATCGGTAGAATTTTGAGTAGCCACCATGCGGTCCACAATAACGTATTGAAACATTCATCCTCGTGCTCGACCTATTTAATTCCTTTGTTTACCAACGTGATTTATGTCGATGATTATATACGAAGATTGTCGATAGGTATAATTCGATAACGATAACCAAACGATTCAATTATAGTCAGATCTAGAGCCACTAAAATGGTTTTTTTTGTACACAATTCGCTTTGCTAATTCGACTTTCAATTACAATACTTTCATTTGTGTTCACTATGTTTTCCTTGATTTTGAAACGCTAGATGCAGTACTCCTTACCATTACGAGTTCTGAAGCGGTAAATAAATCCCCAAAATAAATAACTCTGTAAGTTTTCGATATTGGATGCTGACCACAGTTTTAGTGGACTCATCTAGCTGAAGGCGCTCGGTCAAGCATCCGCACCAGATCACGTGTGAGAACGCCGTGCTCAACATCTGCCACAATCGCTAGCCAGATTAGTGCAAACGATCCTCGATATATTGATAGCCTACCAAATATATCTTCGATCTGTCTTTTGATTTTACTTGGTGGGTGCTCTCCATATTAGAAGGTGTTGTTGGTTAATGCGTTGTCAAACTCCGAATACCTGTGGCATCTTCAGTTCCATTGTTTTCTACCATCACAAGAAAATTGTGCTGTCATGCTAAGATAGATAAAATTAATCTCGAATTTAAACCCTTTGTCTTTTCTATTATAAGTGTAATTTAAATGGGCTAGGCAGACGATAAGGCAACTAATAATGAAAGGGACTTGACCTTCTCAAACAGACTGAATTATTCTCTTCATGAGTTAAAATGATTAACTCAAAGTCGCTACAGTTAACTACATGCCCGTCCTCATAGATTATCAAATGCTAAGGAGAATCGAACAAAAAACAAAATCTCAGGAGGTCAAGAATATTAAGCCTCAACGTAGCATGCGTTCAGAAAATCATAAGATTTATCAATGCCCACAATTTATGGCCTTGCTCAAGGGAAATGATGGGCACGAATAAAAGTGAAGGATTCTCACTTTATTTGCCTTAGACCGGTTCATAAGGACGTAAGTATACAAACTCGGAAAAATGCCGAAGTTGTAAAGGATAGAGTTGTGGTACACGATATTCGATATAATTTTTAAACTTCGTATACTGCTTGTTCTGATAACCGTTAATAGATAACCCCCAGCAGCAAAGAAATCAGAAGACGGATACGAAGCGTTGATCACGTTTACTATCAAAACCACAGGCACACGAAGCAAGAATGATATACGATTGCGAGTGAGTCAATGAACAGGATTATAATATATATATATATATATATATATATATATATATATATATATATATATATATATATATATATATATATATACAGAAAAATGAATAGATCATCAAATCCTTTAATCGACTAACACTAAAGCTAGAAGAATGAATATGCGCGTAGACGGTAAGGAATTCTCAAACATACATGTTTTAGCGGTAAATAAATCCCCAAAATAAATAGCTCTGTTAGTTCTCTATATTGGGTGCTGACCACATTAGTTTTAGTGGACTAATCTAGCTGAAGGCACTCGGTTATGCATCCGCGCCAAGTCACGAGTGGGAAAGCCGCGCTCAACATCCCTTGTGATCGCTAACCAGATTGGATCAGACGATCATCGATATATTGATGGACTATCAAATATATCTTCGAACCTCCTGACTTCTGTCTTTTGATTTCACTCGGTGAGTACGCTTCATACTAGGTGTTACTGGTGAAAGCGTTGTCAAACCCCGAATACCTGTGGTATCTTCAATGTTCATACAATTGCAACAATAATTAAAGTACAATAGTACAGATACGTTGTTCTTGTGCGAATGACTGTGCCAAATAACTTAATAAAAAGGCAAATTAAATGTGGACATACTCAAGTTTATTTGAGAAGCTATAGGGTTGCACTTTACAACTTGATTCAAACCATATGCAAAAGGAAGTTTCCAAAATTCCTTTACTCACGGGCAAGGTTGTTTTGATTAGTTTTCAGCATTAAAAAGCTGATATCAGTTTATATGCCTGGACTGTACATACGATATCAGAATTAATTTTTTATTGTATGTATATGACATTTCTGTCCAAATACGGTTTACACGTCTTGTACTCAACAATGAGATGTTTTATAGGTCTTATAATCACTAAAGTGATCATTGACGTAAAGTTTCACATGTATTTATAAAGGAATGTAGTATGATTACTTTGTCGACTTAAATGATCAGCAGAATTTTATTGTGAAATGAGATCGGATGATCGAGATAATTGTTTGTCACCTGTTAGAAAGCTGCAAGTTCACAACTACAATTATTTTGACAGTTTTTGAACCGACATTATTAAGAATTTAACGTTCTGTTGAGTATTTTAGAGCAACGTCTCTTAACAAGGAAAAAAAGTAGAAAAGACTGAAGGGTTTATTTTAAACTTAGGATGGCGTTGGTTCAACGACTAAAATACGGTTACCGAGACTAGTTATTGTGTGCGATGCTATGCAGCTTCAACTCAGCTTGCATATAATTTTTCATGAAGCTCTTATTATTATGGATTGTTTAACAGGGTTATTATTCTTTCGAACTTCGTGGGGCTGGGGAGTTGGCAGCCTGTTCCATAATAAAGTATACCGTACCATAAAAAACTTACAATGCATTGATTATTAATTATTTAAAGTTAGCAGTAAACTTGCGTTGTTTTTGAGTCTGTAGGCAATCTCATAGATCATAACTGGACAGTTAGAAATTAGAGACCAAATATTATTTCGTAGGAAAATCTTCTGCTCGTCATAGAGCAAACCGCGAACATAGTGGGTTATTGATTCTGAAACTTTAGTTTGGCGAGAAGTGTGGAACCTCATAGAAAGCTTTCTTAAAGTCTCCGAACATCCTTTCTGATTCAAACATGTACTTTTCTTCCATTATTTGGACCCGTTCCACCTTGTTACATGTCACAACTCATTGTTCTTTATCACTGTATTCACTAAACTGAGAACCATTTCACCACATTTGATTCGATTAGTAGCAGCTGGTGTGAGTTACATATAATAATTTTCCATACTTTCGCCCGTTCCAAATGCACGAATGTCGAGTTTGGATGTGCTATTAGTTTCTC